TTATTTCTGATACCTAATACAAAGTAAATGCTCTATAAATGATTGTTATACTATATTGCTTAGAGAATAATGACAAGAAAAAAGGTCTGTTTAGGACAGACATTTTTTTTCTTCCCTCACCTGTAGTTGGTTGAGTCCACAGATGTGGAACTGGTGAATAGAGGGCTGGCTGTATACATTGTTTTAAGTTTGCATGATTGTTTTAAAGCATCTTACTGCTATGAATGTATATGAATAATGGTTACAGTGATAATCATTGAATGAAATAAAGGACTCTAGAACTCTGCTGTAAAACAGGCTTTGTATGTAAGTGGGTCCATCTTGGATGATGTTGTTGGGTGTTCACTGTAAACATGACAGGATGCATTGCACAACAAATTTATTATAGAATATTCTGTTGAAATAGAAGCAAAGGACTACTTACTTAGGAAACTACAGATCAGATGTTGCCATTTCCAATTTAACTTATCAAAATACAGTACTGATATACTAGTATGATAGATGTGTGGTTTGTTTCAGTCTTAACAAAACATTTTACCAACTTCCATATTTAGGAAAGTGGTAAGTTTATTATATTTTAGAGGTTGCCTATTTATTTTTACTTTTGTGAATATTGAGAAAGGAAGGATATTCTTTTTGTAAGCTGGTAAACATTTTGTTGATCAAATAACCTTTGCTTATAATTGCTACCACATATACCACAGTTGCGTGCATTCTTATAAAGTAACATGAGCTTTAAAAAATAGTGGAAGAATCTGAGGTTTTGATATTTTATGACTAAATGTGTTAATGTATACAGAATAGTAATGTGGATGAAAGGTAACTCCTCAGTATGACCTTGTGAAATCTATTAACTTATATGGTCTAATCACCATCACTTTTTTCAGACTAAGGAATGGAAGCATTTTATCTTTGGGTTCTTTTCTTGAGATAATGCAGGACCATATATTGCATGGAACTATAATCAAATACATTAGTGTTTTGAACCAAGTCTCTTATTTCATAATTATTTCTAAAAGCTATTCTCTTTCCTCACGAGGACAGAGTTTAGTATTTATTTCTTCGGGTTGGTTAAATTAATATACTTACTATGATTACTTGCTGATAATATTCTTATTTCTAAATGTACATTGGAGTTGAGGAGTTGATTCTTAACAGTTACTGCCACCACCATTACTAATTAATGTGACCACTACTGTCGACTCTGTGCCTGGCATGGTTTTAACTAAGTGCTTTATGTGTGATTTCTGTCATCTTCTCGGTTACAACCAGGAGGTAGGTACTATTATTGGCACCATTTTACAGATGAAGAAACTGAGACCCAAAGAGGTTTAGTATATTGTCTGAGGTGCTACAGCTAGCTATGATCAAACCAGGACTTAAAGGTTATATTTCCAAGCCAGTGCTCAGAAACAGAGTACTGCAACTGCCTTTCCAAGGAAGGTCATTAAACTTAAATACCACAGAATTTCTAGCAGTTAAACAAGTACATTAACTAGGACATTTGCGCAACAGAACAACAAACATTTTGACCAGGGAAAATGGAATTCCAGTTGTTGAACCCCCTTCCTGTGATTTCATTCAGTTTCTGTTGAAGTAACATTATGAACTCCCTGCCTTTGTTTTTGGAGCATGGTGGCATATGCATCACATACTGATGACACATCTCGTGAGCTGAGTTAAAAATCCATCTTCCTGCTATCCGCTCGGGGGTTTAGACGGTACTCGGAGACTCCTGATGTGCTTCATTTGACACATTTCCATACTGGCTGATAGAGGCTTCATAGCGTGAATCTAAACCTGGAGTCCGAGTTGGAGGATGCATCCATAGTGGGAGGCACCAGCAAGAGTGCCTCTGTTGTGCCTGTGTGTCTCAGAGCTGTGTGAGAGCCAGCAGCTCCCGTGGAGTCTGGGGGTTGCCGCTTACTGTCCATTCATATCCAGCACCATTTCTTTTCATGAGAAAATGCAGCCTTGTTGGTAGCAGTCCCTGCCTTTCCTCTGGTTCCTGTGTGTTAATTCTGTGGGTGTTGCCGTTCCTTTTACCTGCAGCCTCTCGACGTCATTCCAGGTCCACTAGTGCTCTCTCCACTGCTGAATCTGTTGGGCAGTCAGGTGAACAAGTGCTAACTGCATGACTCGGCTTCTCCATCTGTTCTAGTTCCACTCCCATGTTAACATTTGTTTTCATCCGTGTCAGCTACCGCTTGGCATGTGTGCACCTCATGTTTGTTTTCCCTGATGTGCTTTCGTTTTTTTAAGTTGTTGAATGTTTATAGTTCTGTTAATAGGCCATAGATGCTTTATTGCCTGTTTGACAGCATCATTTCTCTAGTGTTCATATTTATGTCAAAACAAAGAAATGGGGATGCACATCTTCCCCTCCTACCACCCCCCCCCCATGAAAACAGCCACCCAAAGTGGATGTCACATAGGGCTCCATGGGGACATGGGGTGTGGATATCATCCAACAGCCTTTCATCTCCAGAGCATTCACTTCCCAGTGTAGTGTCAAATGTTAATGTTACTTATTATCGTCAGGTTCCAATTATTTGGAGGTACTGTTCAGTTAACAATGCTTCAAATTATAGCATGCATAGTTTCAAATATATGAAAGTAAGTGTCCTAAAAGTTTTGATGGAAAAATAAGATCAGGATTTAGGTAATTAAATCAGGCCAGAGCTTAACCTTTGCAGCCTGTGGACCCCAAACCTTCCATCTCAGCTCTAACACATCATTTATCAACTGGCTAGCCAGAGGGGCAAAAAGTAAACATATGGTAGCATCAATTTGCCACATTTAACTGGCCTAATTTTCATATGCTGAGAGTCTCTGATGACTATTTTTCTCAATTGAGTATTAATTCATGAGCTGTGGATGGAGACAGTGCTTACCAGTTCCCTCAGTCAGTTATTTTCTCTTTAGTTCTATGTACGCTAGGATTTAAAAGCATTCTCCTAATGATTAGGGGCCAGACTGTGGGCACAGCTCTACGCATCCATCCTTTGGACTGCTGAGCTTTGTCACAGTGTCAGAGCAGTAGGAATGTAGAGCAGATTTTGGTTTGGTGGAGACAAAAAGTTGGTCATCTTGCTTAGGTCCAGGTAAACATTTCCCCTTAAGATCTGAAGTTCAGGAACTGAGGGTTAGCTTAGTGGTAGAGCACATGCTCAGCACCACAAGACCCTGGGTTTCATCCCCAGCACCACAGAAAAGAAAGAAAAAAAAAAATACAAGATCTGCAATTCAAATTATCTGTATTCTATATCAGGTGATCCTAGTCACTGTGTATGGCAAAGCTGTTTGCATCTGGGAAACACAGAATAATTGCATTGTTCTTATAAGTTTTAATTTTGTTTCTGATTTAAAACAAAATGAAACAATATTATCCCAGGAATAAGAATCGCTGGCATGAGATTTACTTTTTTTTAATTTTTAAAATTTTTTTAGACTCCGTTTTATTTAAGTTTTGCTGGGTAATTTTTAAATGGCTTATAACTGAATTACTTTCATTCTGTTACTCATAAATCCCTTACTATCTACCCTTTTTTAATGAAAAAAAAAGACTTAAAGATTATCTATAAATCTGTAAATCTCAAATTTATACTCATTTTATAATTTAACTAACATAGATAGATATAGAAATGTGATTATTTTGTGGTCTTTTTAGGTTTCATGTGGCACATGAAATCACCTTTGCAACACAATGACTAAGAGGACATTTGGAATGATCAGCAAATGCATTAAAAAAGGGGATAGTATAACATACAATTTTTGTTTCTCTATAAAAATTCATGACTGTATAACTATTGACTAGCTGTGTTTAAATTATTTTCCCTTTCTGTTGTAGTAGAAGGTATAATAGCTTGAAATTGACATTTTATAAAAGCTAAATAACATAACAATTTCAAAGTCCATCAGTTTTATAGTGGTGTCTTATTACCAATCTAAAGTTTATGTAAAATCAATATTAGCTCCCCTCTTAATCGATACTTCATACGAGAATATGGCTGATACAGAAATTTCCCTTGTTGAAACAGTTCACAGGGAAAACACTTTTTATCTTAAAATTTTTCTTCAAAGTTTTTTGTACATCAGAATTTTAATTAAGAAACTTTATCAATAATTAAGAAACTTTATCAATCCCAATGCATCTTTTACACTGACTTCCTCCTATCATAGTCTTAATCTCCAGCACTTCTTAAGGAAGGCTGGTCAACTGACTTACTGGGACTTTAAAAACTAAGGCTTCATATACTGTGATCACTAACAACCTTAGAATAGTTGTTYGAACTGTTAAAAGTTATCTTAAATTCTTTGGATTCTCCATTTTGTTTATCTGTATAAAGACTATTATTCAGTATAAAGGCTATTATTCAGCTTGGTGCCGTGGTGCATGCCTATAATCCCAGCAATTTGGGAGGCTGAGGCAAGCGGATTCCAAGTTCCAGTCCAGCCTGGACAACTTGCCCAGACCCTCTCTCAAAATAGAAAATAAAAAGGGCTGGCGGTATAGCCCAGTATTGCAAAAACAACAAAAAGACTAAGGAAATTTTGCACAGAGATCAATTTAGTACATTCATTTCGAATTTTAACTGTTTACTTCACTCTTTGATCAAGTCATGAAGCTTTCTAATTAGTTTGAAGAAACATTAAGGCCATTTGCCTATAGAGGAAAAGCTCAATAGATTAAAAGATTCAGTTCATAGTCCAGTTCCCTTTTAGAATAAGKTCCCCTCTCTCATGTCTCAAAGTAATAAAATAGTAAGGGACAGTTTCCACTAAAAGAACAGTTTCCACTATTGAGCTTTGTGGCTCCATAGTATTAAATGCAAGCATCTTAACCTCTACCACTGGTAAATAAGTTAATGCAGTTAAAATTGGCTAGGGATTTGTCAGAGCCTCTATCCACTGTGGTGCAAAGAGGCAGGAGCCCCTTGCAAAGAATTGAGAGCAAGTGAATTAAAGTGACACATCTTTTGCTTTTGTTTTCTAAATAGACCGATTTGGGCTGGGCCAGCCAGGAAGAATACCGGGTTCCGTGAATGCCATGCGGGTTTTGAGCACCAGTACAGATCTGGAAGCTGCAGTTGCTGATGCTTTGGTAAGGGGCACAGTGTGTGCAGAATCTCTTTGAATTATTCATCCACGTTTTTCCCTGTCTTCACAGGAAKTTGCCCCAAATCAGGTTACTAAATCATATTTGAAACCCTTCAAAATTATATAAACGTTGAACAGATTTACATTACTGTTGTTTTCCTCTTGATCTTTTATATCCACACACATACATGAAAATTCGCCTTCAAAAAAATATTAGTATCCAGTATTCCTTACCTGTCTGTGCTCCTCAGTATCAAGGAGATTTTGATGACATCAGACTTCTCAGATGTCATTGAGCTTTTTTTTTTTTTTTTTGGGACCATGGTTTTTTTCCAGCATTTCCTGTTTTCCATCCTGTTGCTTCTGTTGCTTTATAGACCTTGATGGCATAGCCTAAACATAATTATAACACTAGGTAATAGTTTGAGGTTTGAAAATCTTGCATTTATTTCTTTCCCTTACTAGTGGGTCTGTATGATCTGTTTGTTTTTAAAAAAAAAAAAAAAAAAGTCAATATTTAAGAAAATTTTCCTAAATTTTAATGTTTACTGTTTGAGGGTATGAAATACTGATATGTTTTTGCTTCATTATAATGTAAAATTTAAAAAAAAAGTGACCAGAGCTCCTTTAATTTTTGGTTATAGCAAAAGTTCCTTGGTAGAACCTGCTCATGGTCAAGATGCATTTCAGCTAGTGGGAGCACAGTGTCTTGCATATTCCAGTTTATGTGCTCAGAATTCAAAATAGATATTCTTTAGAATCATCTGATCTCTAGCCTTGCCTTTGCTATTTTAAGATTTGTTTTCTTGTAGAGAAAAAAGTACACATAACAGGATCCTGCTTTCCTACCCTGAGTTTTTTAATCCAGCCATGTTCCATCTGACTGACACTTTATAGTCTGCGGCTGTGGAGTTTCCTGCTTTCATCCCTTCCTGTCTCTCCTTCATTTATTCTTGCTCAGTCAGATGATTTCTTGTACAAGTGTCTGTGAGCAAGCAGTTTGCTGCTCTCAGAATGCTTTCCTGGTAGACAGATGGCCTGGCCAGCTCTATTCATCACCCTTATATGTAGAACTTTTTCTGGCAGGTATTGGAATCCAGGGTAATTGCTCTGGCCATGGCTTTAACTTAAGAGTCAAGAGCTGGAACAGAATTCTATGAAGCTGTTTCTCCTTCCAAATTACAGCATTTAGAATCTGTCTTTTATTTGTTCAGAGATCCTAGGAAGTGGAGGTCAGAGGAATGGGAAACAATGGAAGCTGCAACCCTTTCTAAATGGGACTTCCAGTTAAGGCTGAGGACTTTCTTAGTTGTTTAAAGAACTGCATAAGGGACTGTGTGCAAAGTTCTAGGAGGCAGAACAGAGATGGAGAGTTGGAGCTTTGGCATAACTTGACTTGAGCTTTTCGCTGAGCCCCAGCTCCCTTTGTACTCAGGCTGCCCTTGTTATTTTCTGTCCACTCTGGTCTCTTCAAGTGACCTGCTTCGGAAGATCTTAAAGCACAGGAATGGTACTGAATTCCTGCCTACAGAATTAAAGCCCCAGGGACAGACGGAAAGTCTCCTAGGAATAGATAGTAGATCAGAAGTCACATTAGAGATGTGCTGTATGGGTATGGGAAGAGTTTCAGTAAAGAATTATAGCAAGAGCCAGAAGGTGCTAGGAGAGGTTTAGGAGGTTAGGAAATGCCATTTTGAAAAAAAGCAGTCTTTATTACTACCTGCTTGATGTGAAACGCTTGCTGACCTGTATTTTTAGTTTGCTAAGAAATGTTTTGCTATACGCTTTTGTTGCCAGAACAATCCCCACATATGCTTCTGACATAATTCTCTATGCTTTTTCCCCATCCTTCAATATTTTCCTGCCTACAGCTGTTAGGAGACGCCAGGAGCAAGGTACCAGTGCTTTAACTTTTGTTTACAACTTTATTTTTTTCTGTTGCAAGTATATTTCTTTTAGAATCTAGCAAAAGCAGCACAAAATGTAGTAGAAATTCTGGTCTGAGTTCTGATTCTGTTGAATCTGCCAATGCCTTTACTAGGGATGGAATTGAATCACTTTTTATGTATGTTTGTGTTAGCATTTATTTTAATGTCACGCTCTGTTCTGTCTCCTATTAGAATTGCATTATATTAACTCAATCTGTGCCTGTTCTTATATTGTCATTGTTTCACAAATGAATTTATTGACATTTTTCTTATTTTAGGACTCTGTGTGTGAGTGGGATGATCATATAACTTAGTATCCAAACACAAATACTTTCAATAGTAAAAAGGGGGTACTATTCATAATTATGCTGGGACAATAGGCAGATGACAAAACAGTCCTGAGCAAGTTGGATTCATAAAAATTAGTATTAATMGAAAATTGAATCTGTACAACTTAAACCAGTGACTGTTTTGGTTTTAGAAAAATTTGTATTTTATAATTTTTATCACTTTTATATAGCTAGTAGGTTTAATGTAGTTTTCGTATTCAGAGTAAGAGAAATGAATGAAGCAGATATTATAGTCTGCTTTAAAAGAAGCCTGTTTTTGTTGTAAAACTAAAGTCCTTAATGAAAGTGGCTCAGATAATTTAAGAATTCTTTTACATAGGATATTTCTGCCACTGGCATTTCAATTTCAGGTTTTCTTAACGAAATGTCATCACAGAAGTTTGCCCATAGACCATGCTCAAAGCAGCTTGCACAGGGCCCCCAGGGGTGCACACACCTGCAGTGTCTTAGGCACTGAGCTGGATTATTTGGCCTAGAATTCCAGTGAGTCCTCGAAGCAAGCCTGTGGGATTGGCATAAATATYGTCCTCTCACAGAGTAGGAAACTGAAGGAAAAATCTTCACAGGCTTTCTGAAATCATGCAGCCAGTCAGTGGTAGCACCAGGATTGTAACCCAAGTCTGCCTGGCTGCAAAACCCATACACTGTACACTGTATTAAGAGGACAAATCGTGTGTGTCCCAGTGTCCTGTTCCCCCACCACCACCCCCGCCAAGGAGTGTGATACTTATTACCTGTTTTTCCTCCTGGAAGACTGCTTTTCTGTTTTTATTTCCCTGATCTGTAAGCACAGGACAAGTGTGTGTGTGTGTGTGTGTGTGTGTGTGTGTGTGTGTTTCTCCATTTAACTCTGTTATTGTTTTTATTTGATATGACTCATGACCATTTCACCTTTCCATTTCTTCCTCGTTCACCTCCATCCCTCATTGGATCCATCAGAAGAAGCCTGTGAGGAGGAGATATGAGCCATACGGGATGTATTCTGATGATGATGCCAACAGCGATGCCTCAAGTGTTTGCTCCGAGCGCTCCTATGGCTCCAGGAATGGCGGCATTCCCCATTATTTGCGGCAGACCGAGGATGTAGCAGAAGTTCTCAACCACTGTGCAAGTTCAAACTGGTCAGAAAGGAAAGAAGGGCTGCTGGGCTTGCAGAACTTGCTGAAGAGCCAAAGAACACTGAGGTAAGGGCAGGAGACCAGGGTTGAGAGTCATGCCTGAGTCCCCTCTTAACTCATCAGAGACTTAAAGGGGTTTCTGTGTGTGTGTGTGTGTGTGTGTGTGTGTTTATTTTTTATTTATTCTAATTTGTTATATTTGACAGCAGAATGCATTACAATTCATATTTCACATATAGAGCACATATCTCTGGTTATACACATAGTAGAGTCATGCCATTGATGTCTTAATACATGTACTTAGGGTAACGATATCCATCTCATTCCACTGTCTTTCCTACCCCTATGCCCCCTCCCTTCCCCTCCCTTCCCTTTGCCCTATCTAGAGTTCATATAATTCTCCCATGCTCCCCCTCTCTACCCCACTATGAGTCAGCCTCCTTATATCAGAGAAAACTTTCAGCATTTAGTTTTTTGAGATTGGCTAACTTCACTTAGCATTATATTCTCCAACTCCACCCATTTACCTGCAAATGCCATGATTTTTTTTCTTTTATTGCTGAGTAATATTACATTGTGTATATATACCACATTTTCTTTATCCATTCATCTACTGAAGAGCATCTAAGTTGGTTCCACAGTTTAGCTATTGTGAATCGTGCTGCTATAAACTTTGATGTGGCTATGTCCCTATAGTATACTGTTTTTAAGTTCTTAAAGGGGTTTCTTGTCATTTAAGGTGTCCTTACAAAGTTCCATGTGTTGCTCAAAAGTAAGACCCATCCTTGCCATTCAAAGTCTTCAAAATATCTGGCACATATTCTATAATTGATTAGGCTTATGAAACATTTATTTCCCTTAAGGTTCATATTTTTCCATTTCATGTTGTTATTGAGAAATCTGGGTATAGTTTACAATTCAGGTGAAGAATGAAACAACTCTGCAAATTAGTATGTTGTATTCCTCTTCAAGGTTCAGGATAAAATGTCTCAGTCTAAAATTTTCAATACTTATAAGCATATAGTAGCTTATAAATATGCAGAGTAAACAGATGATAAAACAGAGCCCTTCAAATCAGCAGCGTTATTTTTTGAACATTTTTCTTTTTTGCTTTGTTTACATATTTTATAAATTTTCTAAAATAAGCATGTATTATATAACATCAAAAAGGTATGCATTTATACCATATTTGGGCCCCATTGGTACACTATGATTTTATGTCTCTCTAAAGAAGTAATGAGAAATGCTGTTTACTAAATATGGCAGTGCTACTATGTCACCAAGTATAAGATAAATTTCAATTATGGAGATGTTAAAACATGGGAATTGAGAAAAGGACAAGTGAACCCATGAAATGCAATGTACGATATCTTCTGGATTTTTTTTTTAAAAGATAAGTATTGAGACTGGCTATGTTGTGACCTTGGGTGAGGCTCATCCTGGGCTCTTTGTAGCCAGATGAGCACTGGCTGATGAGTGGCTCTGCCCCCCAGGTGGCTCTTCATCTGCTTCCACCTTCCTGTACTGACACCTGCCCACGTTATACCGTCTGTCCTTGAAGATGGTGTGAGAGGATCTGTCATATGCCTTCTGAAATGCAGGCTTCTGATGACACTCCGTGATCTGTCAAAAATAAAATTAGGATGATTTTTCTTCCAGGATTTATTTTTTCCTGTTGAAAAATCAGCATTCACTTGAGGTTGTACTTTTAACATACTAAAGGGTCATTGAGCCAACTTTCTCATCTGTGTAAGGATGGATGATAATTTGAGGAAGAGAGGACCCTCTTTTCAGCTTCAGAGTGAAAAAAAAAAAAAGGTAGTAGTGCAATCAGGGATCAGAAAAGGTAAAGAACACCAGCGTGCCTGAGGGTTTGCTGTGTCCCCCGTACAGTAGTAGGTGCCATGTGTTACCTTCCCAGCAGCCTTGTGACATACTGCGTATCCTGTTTGAGAAGAGGCCAGAGCTTTAAAGAGAAGGATTAAAGATATCATTATCCTTTGTTTGTAGTAGAATTAAGGTTCCAGGTCTGTGTGACCCTGAAACACATGCTTCTTTTCTAATTTATTGCATACCCTTTCAGCTGTGGCAGATGGAGAAGAGCCCTGGGTCAAGTTGWAGGGGTTTTGGGTCATGCTTTGTCACTTTCTGTGAGCTTGGGAATATCATGCTCCAAGTGTCAATTTCCTCACCTTAAAATGAGAATGAATCTATACCTTTATATTCTTAACTTCATGAATTAAATAAGATACTTATTTGTGGAAATTTCTGTTGCATAAATATAGATTAGGTAAAACTGCATAGTTGACAGAAACAAAGTTATTTTCTCCTCTTTTTTTTAATTGGTGTATGAGAAATGTAAAGAATAGTGATATATTTTATATATGTATAAAATTGTGGTGTATTTATATATGCACATAACATAATTTGGTCAATTTCATTGTCCATTACTTCTTCTTTCCCTCCCCTCTTCCCTACCCCTATTCTTCTTCCTCTGTTCTTCTGGTCTGTTTTCCACTCATTTATTTATTTTTAATTGGTATTTTATAAATATACATACAGGTAGAATTCACTGTAGTGTATTCATATATGCACACGTCACAGTTTTGTCAAGTTCATTCATTGCCTCCTCCCTCCACTTCAATCTCCTTCTATCCCGCTGATCTTCCTCTGTCTTTATAATATTTGAAAACCCCCCCCACAACATTTTCCCCCCTTACTTTGCTCTAGCTTTCATGTATGAGAGAAAGCATTTGACCTTTGATTTTCTGAATCTGACTTATTTCACTTAGAATGATGATCTTCAGTTCTATTCATTTACTGGAAAATGCTATAATTTCATTSTAATTTATGGCTGAGTAAAACTCCATTGTATACATATACCACATTTTCTTTATCTGTTCATGAATGGGCACCTGGACTGGTGCCCAATAACTTGACTATTATAAGTTATGCTGCTGTAAACATTGATGTGGCTGTATCACCATAGTATGCTGATTTTAGTTTGTATAAGCACCAAGGAGTGGGATAGCTGGGTCATAAGGTTTTAAGGTATATGCATACTGCTTTCCAGCATGATTGTACTAATTTGCAGTCTTACCACCAGTGCATGAGTGTGCCTTTTTCCCTACCAGAATTTATTATTTGTATTCTTGGTAATTGCCATTCTGACTGAAGTGAGATGAAATCTCAGTATAATTTTGATTAACATTTCCCTGAGTGCTGGAGATGTTGAACATTTTTGCATTATATGTTAGCTATTTGTGTTTCTTTTGAGAAATATCTGTTTAATTCTTTTTTCATTTGTTGATTGTGATTTTATTGTTTTTGTTGTTATTGTTGTTTTTGACATTGAGCTTTTTAAACTCTGATATTCTGGATATTAATCCCCTGTCAGGGGAGTAGCTGGTAAAGATTTTCTTCCATTTTGTAGGCTCTCTCTTCATATTCTTAATAATTTTCTTTGCTGTGCAGAACTTTTTAATTTGATGCTGTCCCACCTACTGATTCTTGGTTTTATTTCTTAAGCTTTAGGAGTCTTGTTAAAGAAATCGGTACCTGTGCCAGTGTATTAGAGTGTTGACCCTCTTTTCTTCTAGCCAGTTTCTGATCTAATTCCTCTAAGTTTTTGATCCACTTTGATTTGATTTCTATCCAGGGTGAGGGCTAGAGGTAGTTAAAAAGGCTGTCTTTTCTCCCACATATATTTTTGGCACCTTTGTCAAGTATCAGATGACTTAGCTACGTGGGTTTGTCTCTCTGTCTTCTTTTCTGTTCCCATGATCTTCGTGTCTGTTTTGAAGGTGATACTATGCCATTTTTGTTACTGTAGCTCTGTAGTAGAATTTGAGATTAGGTATTGTGATGCCTCCTGCTTTGCTTTTCTTGGATAAGATTGTTTGGCTATTCTGGGTCTTTTATTATTCCAAATGACTTTCCAGTTCTGTGAAGAATGTCATTGGTATTTTGATGGAGATTCCATTGAATCTGTGTTTTTGGTAAGATGGCCATTTTGACAATATTAATTCTGCCTATCCAGGAACATGGGAGGTCTTTCCATCTTCGAAGGTCTTCATTTTCTTCAGCATTCTATAGTTTTCATTGTAGATGTCTTTCACCTCCTGTGTTAGATTAATTTCCCAAGTTTGTTTATTTTTTGAGGTTATTGTGAATGAGATGGTCTTCCTGATTTCTTTCTCAGCAGACTCTGTATTGGAGCATGGGAAAGCTATTGCTTTGTGAATGTATCCTGCTGAATTTATCAGCTCTAGAAATCTCTGTTTGAGTTTTTGGGGTCTTCTTGATTTAGGGTAATGTCATCAACCAACAAAAATAATTTGATTTCTTTTTCTGTTTGTATCCCTTTAATTTCCTTCTCTTGCCTTATTGCTCTGGCTAGAATTCCAAGAACTATATTGCAGAGAAGTGGTGAGGGTGGACATCCTTGTCTTATTTCTGATTTTAGAGGAAATGCTTTCAGTTTTTCTGCTTGATATGATGTTGGCTTTGGGTTTGTTATATATAATGTTGAGGTAAATTCCTTCTCTAGTGTTTTTAACATGAATGAGTACTGGATTTTATCAAAAGCCTTTTCTATATCTATTGAGATGTTCATGTGATTCTTGTCTTTAATTCTGTTTATGTGGTGAATTACATTTGTTGATTTACATGGTTTGAACCAATCTCATATCCCTGGGATGAAACCCACTTGATCATGTTGTACTATCTTCTTAATGTGTTTGTGAATGTGGTTTGCTAATATTGTATTAAGGATTTTTGCATTTATGTTCTTCAGGGAGATTGGTCTATAGTTTTCTTTCCTTCGTGTGTCTTTGTCTGGTTTTGATATTTGGATCATATTGGCTTCCTAGAATGTATTTGGGAGAATAATAGAATAATTTGAGGAAAACTGGTCTTTATTCTTTTAAGGTCTGGTTGATAAAGAATCCATATGGCCCTGGGGTTTTATTTGTTGGAAGACTTTTAATTGCTTTTTTGATTTTATTCCTTGATACTGGTCTATTTTAGGTTTTCTATATTTTCCTCTTTCAATTTGGACAGGTCATATGTATATAGAAATTTATCAGTGTCTTCCAGAATTTCTAGTTTATTGGAATGTAAGTTTTCAAAACAATTTCCAATGATCCTCTGGATTTCAGAAGTGTCTGTGGTGGTATCTCCTTTTGCATCTCTAATGTTGTTAATTTGGGTTTTCTCTCTGTGTTGGTTAGTTTGGCTAGGAGTTTATCAATCTTGTTTATCTTTTCGAAGAAATAACTCTTAGTTGCATTGATACTTTGTATTTTTTATTCTCAATTTTATTAATTTCATCTTTGATCTTTTTGCATCTTCTACTGATTTTGGCATTAATCTTCTTTTTCTCAGGCTTTGAAGTATAGCATTAGCTTATTTATTTGGATTTTTTAAGGTAATCAGTGCTATAAAACGTTCCTCTTATAACTGCCTTCATATTGTGCAAAAGATTTTGATATGTCATGTCTCTGTTCTCATTTGTTTCTAAGAAGTTCTTGCTTTCTCCTCTTGTTTCTTCTATGATCCATTCTTCATTTAAAAGAATATTGTTCACTCTCTGTGTTTATGTGGTTTCTGTGAATTTTCTTGCTGTTGATTTCTAGTTTCATTTCATTATGACCTGATCATATGCACAGGATTATGTCCGTTTGTTTATATTTGCTAAGACTTATCTTATGATCTGTAATATGGTTTATTTTGGAAAAGATTCCATGAGCTGCAGAGAAGAAAGTGAATTTAGTTGTTTGGGGTAAAATATTCTGTAGATGTCTGTTAGGTCCATGTGATATATAGTATTATTTATGTCAAAATTATCTTATTGACTGTATGTTTGGATGACCTGTCTATTGGTGATAGGGGTGTGTTGAAATCACCCAGTATTATTGGATTTAGGTTCTATTAGGATCTAAAGGATTTTTAAAAGCAAACTATAACTAATTGAAGTGATGACTTTTTACATTTTAAATTAATTTATTTCTATTTTATTTCCTCTAGTCGAGTAGAATTGAAGAGATTGTGTGAGATCTTCACCCGAATGTTTGCTGACCCTCATAGCAAGGTAAATCTGGGATCAGACTTATATTCCCATCTGCATGTGTGTGTGAGCTGTGTAAAATACCCAAGAATAGAAGAGAAATCCCCAGTGAGTTTCAGCCTTACAAATGTAACACCCATTTCTGCAATAGCATGTGTTATGTCTCTCCAAAATGGAATTTTTAACCAAGCATGGTGGTGCACACCTGTAATCCCAGCTACTGGGGAGGCTGAAATCTAAGAATCCCAAGTTTGAGGCCAGCTGGACAAATTAGTGAAACCTTATAATGTCAAAATAAAAAGAGTTGGAGATAGCACCCCAGGTTTGGTCTGGGACTGTGGCTCAGTGGCAGAGTGGTTGCCTAGCATGTATGAGGCACTAGGTTCAATCCTTAGCACTACATAAAAATAACAAAATAAGGTATTCTGTCCATCTACAACTACAGAAAAAATTAAAAACAAAAACACCCTGGGTTCAATACCCAATACTTCAAAATAAAAAAATAAAAAGGAATTCTTCAGAACTTAAATGTTCATAAATTTCAAGCTTCAAGTGAAAGCTTTCATGGAAGGAGAATCAGATAATAGTATTTCATTCATTCAACAAACATTTTAATTTTTGTGTCCCTCTTTTAGCTAAATAGTGGGCCAAGTGCTAGAATGGAAGATTGTATAATATAGTGCATTTTTTAAAAGTTGTTGTAGTGAAAAAAATATTTATGTAATTATTTTTGTAAACTTTAGTATTTGTTCTCATAGGACAAGGTAGAAAATGGAAGTATTTATTGAATGGATTCATTGGAAAACCAGGTTATATCTCCAAATAGAATATTGCTGTTCCCAAGAACTTGCTATATGGTGGTCACCATTAGCTGAGGCCCCCACCTCCTGGGGGCCAAAAGAAACACTGGGCCCTTTTGACAAGAGAGTGCCTGCATGACTGTGGGACAGGGCCCATTCTAGGGGAAATGCAGAGAGAGGGACACTTTATAAAATTACTTAGAGTCTAGATTTTAAATAAATACCATTGTTTGGGAGGAAGCCTTTAAAGGCTGTTAGATGTGTTCAGAGGAAGAAAATGGAAAGATGAAGATACAGGGAAAGTTCAAAAGTGGATAAAGGATGAAACTAAAGTATAGATATTGATGGAACTCTAAACCAGCAGAAGCAGATCTTAAATGCCGACTTGCAGGATTAACCATATTACACTATAGTTTCCCTAGTAAAAAATGGTCTCTTCTAATTCTTGCTGGAAGAAGGCAGCCTATAATACTGTGAAATTCCAGCCAGCTGTATTTCGTCTTCTTTTTCTATCCTTGCTTCCTCATAGGAATTGTCCTTAAAGTAGAACCCACCCACCCACACACTCATCCATCCAATCATTTGGTATTTACTGAGTACCTGCTATGAGCCAGAGATACAGAAAAAACAGATAAGGCCCCTTGCCTTTTGTTCACAAGACTGAAAGGGAATGAATACAGGGTGATGCTCCACTTCTATGCCCCTGCAAAAATCTCCCGGAAAACCTTCACAACAAGGATAATATTAACAATGTCAATAAAACCCAAAAGAGGTCAAGTTTAGAGGCCATATAGATATTCAAAGATATAATCTTTGCACACTTTTCTCTAAGGTAATGTTAAAAGCAATAAGAGTTAAAGCATAAGCATAATACATTTCGTAAGAATTATACCATAAGGGATATTAGATGGTTTTGAACATTGATGAAATTTCTGTTACCTGTTACCTCTAGATTGCTGATTCAGAAGCAGAATGTGAGGATAAAGAAGGAAATTTGTTATCATCAGAAGGCTCTTGTCCAGTGAGTTTGGAGGTCTCAGTTTAGTTGATATTTGTTAGCTGTCTGTGAGAGAAGCCAGGAATCCCACAGCCAGGGCCACTGGCTTTTTTTTTCCTGAGCTGACTCACTGGAGACCCCTGGTGGTGAACAGTTGCTGCACTAGAAACGAGGAGGTGTGTGATTGGTGGGTTGTCCCAGTAGAGCAAGGCTCACTGAAGAGGTAGGGAAACACGGTGCTACTAATCTCTCTGAAATTGGTTCACAGATATTCCACTGTGGACTGTTTCACCTTAGATATCTGTGATAATTACACAGCAGTACAAGAATTACATGAACTGTCATTATCATTTATTATAATATTTTATTCATAATATCTGAAATTGGCATACTTCAAAAGAGCTGATTAAGATGAAAGGCAATAGCTACACAATAGGGAATGGCTTTTTTTTTTTTTTTGTATCTTATACTATACCATGAATACTCAGTAATGAGCAAGAATAGTATAGAATTAGGACAATTGAGTTTTTTTTTTTCTCTCTCTCTCTCTTTTTTTAAAAAAAAGCCTCTAGGATTAAACTCAGAAAAATTCATTCCTCTTTGTACTAACTTTTATAGGCTAATATTGAGGGAGGAGCAAGTATTTTATCAGTTTGTAGCTTTTTCAGGATTTTTAAAGAAACTGCATGAAAATGATATTCACTGTGACTAACATGGAATTTGTTTTGTTGCATGGCCTGGTTTGCGGTGGAATTCACAACAGAGAGTAAGTGTCAGTCCTTTTTCCTTTCTCCATTTTCCACAATGCATTTGCCTTTGCAATATGAGCGGTTGTTAGCAGTGTTCACATAAATGACGAGAGTCTGGGTAAAATAGCATGGGCCTTTTTAATGCTTTCTACTCTTTGGAGAAAATCATGAATCAGACATGTGAAATGCTTGGTTTTCATTTGTGTTCAGGTTTTCAGTATGTTCTTGGAGACTCTAGTGGATTTTATAATAATTCATAAGGATGACTTGCAAGACTGGCTTTTTGTCCTTCTCACACAATTACTTAAGAAAATGGGAGCAGATTTACTTGGCTCTGTGCAAGCAAAAGTTCAGAAGGCCCTAGATGTCACAAGGTGAGTGTCAAGGGGCTCAGCCATGTTGTTAAGTCTTGACTGTGATTTCTTGGCAAGGGCTTCTGTTACTCATGGTCTTTGTCACCCACTCAAATCTCTTCTCTCTTGCTCAGTTCTCAAGTTCTCTTGTTGACTTTTGTCGACATGTCCCAACAGTTCAGGAGATGAAATACCCATATCTTCCTTGACTTGGCATTGTATTTTGTGAATGCCTTAGACACATGTAAAACTTTGAGAATGATTATCTTTCCTGTATAAAATATTTAAAGAGAATGTTTAGAATATACATATTTTTCTGAAGTTCTTAGTATTCTCAATACCAATTTCTTTTAAGTCACACTGGAAATTTATCAATGTATGATGTTGAGATGTTGTTGGTTCAGAAACTGTCTTTAAGTTGACCGGTTCCTTGATAAACATTACAACAGTTGTAAGCCTTGTAACTGTTATGAGGAAAGAGAAGCTACAAGGCTTAGAAAAAATTAAAAACTATGTTCAGAAGCCTCTTCTCCCTTGTCTGTGCCATTATAGATCTTCAGTATACAAGAGTTAGAATTAAGTGTTCTCAGAAGACACTTTGCAATAATGTTGACATTGTCATCTGGTAGGAAATGGAGAGAGATGTATCAGATTAATGAATCTTTTAGTAAGAACAGATGAGCCAGATGTGGTACACACCTGTAATCCCAGTGATTTGGTAGGCTAAGGCAGGAGGATCACAGATTCGAGGCCAGCTTAATGAGACTTTTGTCTCAAAAAATAAGTACAGGGCTGGGGATATACTTCAGTTGGTAGAGTGCTTGTCTCACATGCACAAGGCCCTGGGTTCAATCCCCAGCATCACACGCATACATACATGCACACAAATAAAAAAGGACTGGACTGGTAGTATAGCTTGGTGGTAAAGTGTCCCTAGGTTCAATTCCTAATGCTAAAATAAAAATGAGTGAATGAATAAATGAATGGATAGACAGAACTGCACACGGGGATGCATGCCTGTAATCTCAGTGACTCGGGAAGCTAAGGCAGGAAGATCTCAAGTTCAGGGCCAACCTCAGCAACTGTGAGACCTTTAGCAACTTATCAAGATGCTGTCTTAAAAACCAAAAACGACTAAAGCTGTAGCTCAGTGGTAAAGCACCAAAGAAACAAATAAATTTAAAAATAAATAAATGAATGACTCCTGGATCACTCAGAAAATTATCATCAAAGCAGTAACTTTTTTTTTTTTTTTTTTTTTTTTTTTTTWATTGGTGGTGGTGCTGGGGATTGAACCCAGGGCTTTGTACATGCAAGACAAGCACTCTACCAACTGAGCTTATCCCCAGCCCTCAGAGCAGTAACTTTTATAAGACCCCATAACAATATTAATGATAATAATTATTATTTTTGGTATTGGGGATTGAACCCAGAGGTGCTACATTCTCAGCACCTTTGCACCTTTTGTCTTGAGACTGTGTCTCATTAAGTTGTTGAGGGTGTCACTAGGTTGCTGAGACTGGTCTCGAACTTGTGATCCTCTTTTCTCAGCCTCCCGAGTCACTGGGATTATAGACATGTGCCACCATATTCAGCTTATAAGACCCAGTTATTATTTATAAACTGAAATAATAGAAATTTTTAAACAAAAGACCTTGAAGATGATGTTCATATCATCAGTGAGAAGCAGACTACTTTGCCCAGGCTCACACTTGGTGTTAGTGGCCATCTGGGAATTAGCATCCAGGATTTTTGATCATTGCTCCTCTCTTTGCTTCTGTGACTCCAGGCTGCTCTGTAGGCATGTGTCCTCCCTTCCTGTGTGTGGGGTAGAGGTAGTGCTTGTACCTTTATTTTGTGTCCAGCTCATACCACTAACAACAGCACATGCCCTTCCCCGTCCCCATCCATGCAGGTAGTGCAGGACTCTGGCTGCCTTGCACACATTTGTCCCTCTATACTCTGATGCCAGGGGTTTTTCTTTTGGTTAACCTTCTAATTTGTACTGTTATAAAATACCTTTCTTCTGATTTCCTGTAAACTCAAAAGTAACATGCTGCATTCAGAATAAGACTTTCAAACTAGACTCTCTCTTTGGATGATCAAATTTAATGGAATTAGGGAGCATTACAATGGAAGGTGTGGCCAGGAATTGATAGACTGATACAGCTGGTAGAAATGAGTGATGAGAAGGGAGTTATTGACAGGCTGTGGGATGTGGGCCCAGTGAAACCAGAGTTTTCAAAAAGTCATAAATAAAGATTTGGGAACACATTTCTTATGCCTCTAAAGGCCAAACAAAATGTATGAGCCATATCTGATCTCTGGGTCACTTAAATCAAGTGACTTTATGAAGGAAAGGTCCATTTCAGATTTTTAGGAATGATGGGCATATTAATCATTTTGTCCCACTGACCTAGATGTGGGACACCTATAAATACTTAAACTGAACAACAAATATACTACTTATGATAACTTTGAAATAATATTTGAATATTTGTTACATTTGCAGAACTGAAAATTTAGGACTTAATGGATTAAGATTATACTCTTAAAGGTTACTGCTTAGTCTTAATCTTTAAAATAGCTACCCAAAGTAACTTCAGTATGTATTTTGGGACATTTTTTTTATTATTATTATTTTATACATAAGGATGTGTTAATTTAGGATTTCTATAAAGTTAAAAGTACTATTTCCAAATAGGCTATAATTTATAATATTCTGCAAACTAAACTTTGGTAATTAAGGAATACAGTGTGTCCTCTTTCTAATTTTCATGGCTGCCCCTTTCCGTAAAACAAAATCTAATCTCAGTAGACTTGTTCTGAGTCCCTAGGGTATTTTTGTGATTCCCTTCTTTGTTTCAGCTGCTGAGCTATGCAGCTGTTGAAGTTCATCTGGAACCATCCAGTGGTTATTTGGAGGGACTTTCAGTGGTGGCTCAGAGGTGCTCCACAGATTCTAGACCTGAGCTAATCTGCCTGAGTTTCCTCTCTGTGGCTGAGCTAACAACAGGGTGCATTTCCTGGCTAAACACACCAGTGCCTGAAGTATATTCTCCACTCATGCCCTTGCTGCACAAGCAGGGAGCAGCATTTTGTGTGCAGTGTGTCAACCAGTCACTTAAGTTGGGTGTACTGACAACTGACGTGCACTTGGTCTCCAGAAGCAGTCCTCAGAACTTCCAGGGTGCAGATAGACATGAGAGGAAAGGGTGCTGTGGGTCAGGTTTGCTTTCTGTTGGTAATTATGATACTGATAATGGTGGCACCTAATATGCACCACTTCATAAAACTTGATATTTTTCTTATATCATTTATTTTAATTTTCATAACAATTCTGAGATCATAGATATTATTTGCTTCAAATATTTGTAGATTCACACCTACATTTTTATTCATTTTACTGTACTTCTATAGACTAGGAAAGATTTCTAAAAGGTTCCAAAGAAAGAAATGTAACCACTCAGCCTCAGTTGTAATAGGACTTGCCGATTGCATTATCTTTCCCGTTAATGTAGAAGTCCCATCAGCGTTATCTACATAGTGCTCCATTAGGTAGTTTTTAACTGGTACTAGTAATTACCACATTTTAAGGGAGAGAGCACTGATTTTCACTAGCCAGGAGCCCCTTGATTGGCTCAGAGATGCACAGTGACTATGAGAAATGGGTCATTCACAGGCAAGAAATGGAACAAGAGAAGGGGCTCCTTGGGCCCAGGCTTCTGTGTGTGAGTTGAGCTGGGTGGGGAATTTCTGTCGCTGAGTTTTGAACAGGCATTCTTTTATGGTGGTCAGACCAAAATAGAATGATAGGCAGTTTCCAGGACAAAGAAAACAGACATTTGGCTTAAGCCAGGTCACCTAGAAGCAGCATAGTGGGGTTGTAAAAATAAGATCTGGGAAATCAGAACTGTTTCTCAGGTAAGCAGCATTCAGAAAGGTAGCTGGAGTGAAGAGAGGATGACCCTGAGCAGGACAGGAGGAATCTTCCTTACTGCCTTGTTTGCTGTTTGGTCTTAATCTTTAAAAGAGCTACTCAAAGTAACTTTAGTGTAAGATTTTCCTTTTCTTAAATTTCCTATATAAACATGTACTTGGTATTTGTGCAAAACGAAAAGTACTATTTAAAGAATGTGAATAGGCATTTACATATATTAATTTATAACAGTATGTTTTTGTTATGTAGTTTGACATTCCTTTTTGCAATATCTTTAAAAGCAAGCACTCTCTTTTCTTTTAATCTAGGGACTCCTTTCCATTTGATCAACAGTTTAACATTTTGATGAGATTTATTGTGGATCAAACTCAGACTCCAAACCTCAAGGTCAGTATCTATTCGTCATTACAGTTCAACCCCAGGAACTCAAAAAATTGCTTAAAATTCACTTTTTTAATACATGACTCGTATTTAGCAGTTAGGAAGTCTGTGAATATTCCTTTTCCMCTCTGTGGACATGTTTTCATTTCTCTTGGTTTAGTGCCTTGTAAAGGAATTGCTGTTCATAAAGTARGCATGGTCAGCTTTTTTAGAAGCCAAAATGATTATAACATATTACATCTCTACCAGCAAAGTATGAGAGTTTCTGTTGTTCCACATCCTCACCATCATTTGGGCATTAGTAATCTTTTTCACAATTAATATTTAAACTAGAAAATTAAGCATTCTGATGTGTTGAGATCAGCATCTTGTTGGAATATTTCTTTAATGTTATCACTCTCTAAGATGTGGAAAATCATCGATAATAACTTGACTAAATTTTTTTGTTGTACAGGGAGGGAAGATGTGTGTAGTCATATTCGTCATCTGTTCCTGGATCATGAATTTGTCTTGAGGTTTCACTTTGGGCCTAATAAATGAACACCCTTTTGACGAGTTGATATAAAAGAGTAGAACACGAGCTTGCCTCGCCGGACAGGGCCTGGAATGTGTGAAAAACTAACTACAGAGTTGAGCCTGCCCTCTCATTTGGTGGCAGAGCTGCCCTATAAGTGTCCGGCAGCACTTGTGAGGATTAGGATGTCATTTCATGTGGAAGTATAAGTCTAGGACAAAGGAAGGGAGTTTCCCCCCTCAATGGTGTTTACTTTTCTGTGGCCACCACTTATGAATTCTATTTAAAGATTGGTTGAGTATACTTAATGCTTATAATTATTTGGTCTTTCAGGTCAAAGTTGCAATCCTGAAATACATTGAGTCTCTGGCCAGACAGATGGACCCAACAGATTTTGTAAACTCTAGCGAGACGAGGCTTGCTGTTTCTAGAATCATTACCTGGACAACAGAACCAAAGAGTTCAGATGTGAGAAAGGTATGACCAAGAGAGCTAAAGTATAATTACAGACTATCCTAGGCATGTATTAGAAACCATAAATTCATTTAGAAATGTGCAAACTGCCCCCCCCMCACACACACAAGCACTTTTTTTCTATGAAAAGCAAGGTTTTCTTCTTCTCTTTCCTGTTATGTCCATTTCCAGTGTTTGACTATTACAAGAAAAATCTGATGGGTTGGTGGTTTCCCAGGTGTCCATTTTTATCATTTTGTGATGTGAAAGCACTAGCAGTCTAGTGTCTTTTTCAAGAACACTGAACAGTCTGACTTGTGCTTTGAAGATGCAATTGTAGTTCTGAAGCTAGCAGGCTGTGGGGTGCCTGATAGTAAAGTGGGGTGCCTGTAGTTGAAAAGTTTGATAAGATAGAACAGATTCTTCACTTTAAGAAGAGCAAATAAACATCTAGTTATATGCCACATTTGGAACATGCTGTCTGTAATTTGGGAAATGGAGTGGCGTGGGGACAGAATTCAGATTTTTGAAACACCTGATACCAACACATTGTTGTGTTGTTGTCATTTTAGTAACTCAAGGGAAATATTTGCTTCTTCTGAAATAACATTGAGAGGCATATAACATGGTAGAGCACAGGCTACTACTCCTTCTCTTATTAACTAATCTGCTTTACAGACTGTTAAAAGGATGACAGTAAAGCATTTAATCAGTCCCCAACACACTACAGTCAGAGTGTGAGTTCATATTGGGGCTGTTATAGCTATTGTCCTCATTCTCTTCTTATCAGGGGTGTTTCCAAAGCTTGGGTTTCCACACGTGGTTGTTACAAACTTTTACTTTATATAAAAGCTTTGCTTTTCATGCTTTTTAAAGCCCAAATTTCTCAGTTCTGCCTTCAGAACTCCAAGGTGGTTATTTGTGTGAACTCACAACCTGGCATTTTCTTCTTTTGTATTCTACTCCTTCCTCAGCCATCCCTGCCAGTAGCCCTTTGGCCTTGGAGCAGGATGGAAAATGTGGATCACCTGGATCCAGACAGGGAAAAGGGAAGGGTGATCCTAAGCAATGTTCAGCATGATTGGTGCATTTCCTACTGCAAATAGACACTGAACTCTCTGACGGAGTTCAAAGAGAAGAACCAAAGAATTATCTAAGAGATTTCTTTAGAAGGATCATGGTCCATTTAATTCTCACTGTCTGTTACTTAGCAATAAACTAACTTGCTCATTGTCAAAGGAACAAGGGAAAATCTTTTTAAAGCACTCATTCAAATTATTATCTAATACCAACTAATATTTTTCATTCATGATCCTGTTGTAAAATATCTTAACATTTATCAAAAATGTTTTTTTCATTGACAACATTTAATACACTAGTTGGGTAGTTTTCAAGAGTCCACAGTAATTGAAATTTTATTTGCTTTAAAAGTCAGAACAGATATTTCTGTTGTAATTTTAAAAATCATAGGATTGAAAACAAAAAGCTTAAATAAAATTTAAGTTGCTCGGGCTAGGGAGGTGGCCCAATGGAAGAGTGCTTACCTAGCTCAAGCCCTGGTTCCAATCCCTATAATCTCCAAAAACAGTTGCTATCTTTCTCTCTTTAGTTATGACACATCTGTATGCATGTTAGTCCACTTTTCATCCCTATAATAAAATATGTAACAGGGTATTTATGAAGAAGAAGAGGTTTATTTAGCTTACAGTTTCAGAGGTTCAGGGCATGATGCTTGCCCTKTGAGGCCCCTTTTTTGGATGCATCACAGCATGGCTGAGGCACACGGAAGAACATATATCACAAAACAGGAGGACGGAGACTAGGGACCCACAGTCCCTTTGAAGAGCATGCCCCCAATAACCTAAGGCTCTCCCACTGGGCTCCTCCTCCTCCTCCTCTTTTTCTTCTTCTTCTTCTCCTCCCCCTCCTCCTTCCCCTCTCCTCCTCCCCCCCTCCTCCTCCCCCCTCCTCCCCCACCTCTCCCCACCTCCCCCTCCCCCTCCATACTTTTTGTTGTCAGTGGATCTTTCTTTATATGTGGTGCTGAGAATCGAACCCAGGGCCTCACACGTGTTAGGCAAGCTATTACTGAGCTACAACCCCAGCCCTAGGCCCCACTTTTTAAAGGTAAACCACCTCTTAGTAATGCCACTCTAGGGACCAAACCTTCAATTACTGTGGACTCTTGAAAGCTACTCAGACCACAGCTGACTGTGTCAGTGTGAGGATGTGCTTTAGTGGCAAATCTTCCTTGTAAGTATTTCCTACATGGGCCTAAATGTGTTTTAGATTTGCATCTTGCTGTAGTTAGGACCTATTTTCGAGTAACCAAATTTGAACCTAATGTCTACTTGCCGTGGAAATGCACATTAGAAAATCTAAACTAGGATTTATTGTTCTTTTCTAATCGGGACATTGTAGGAACTTCCTTCCTTGAATTATTTAGCCTGGGGCTCTAGAATTGCAGCTTATTCTAATACTAACACAGGTCAAATATGACTAGAAAATTAGATTTATTGCAAGTGATCACATGGTTCATTTACTGTTTGAATATTCTACAGTTTATTTTCAGTTATTTTGCATTATCTGCTGTTATTTCACAAAGCCTTGTCTCCCTTGGTGTGCTGTTTCCACTGCATTCTTGCTTCTCCCTCATCCCATTGTGAGGGCTACTTCCTTCCCTTTAGATCTAGCTTAAAGCTAGTTTCTGGTTCAGGTACAGTAGTCTTGATCTTAAGAGAAAAAWATTTTTAAAATATTTATTTAATTGTAGGTGAACACACAGTATCTTTATGTGGTGCTGAGGATCGAACCCAGTGCCTCACACATGCCAGGCAAGCACATTACCACTGAGCTACAGCCTCCTCAGCCCCTTAAGAGAAATTTGAGAAATTTTAGATCAGTAGTTCTCAGTTCTGGCTGCAAGTTAAAATCACCCTAGATTTCTGGTCTCCACTCCTAGGCAATCTGATTTTATTGATGTAGTGTAGAATCTGTACCTAGGGCTTTTTAAAATTTTTTGATTAGGGTCCTTGCAATCTTGATTTTTAATGCAGAGCTGAGGCCCATTATTTTAGACCATTGCCCTGGAATTGAACTTCAAGACATACAGACTGCCGAAGTAGTCTTGACCTGATTACTACAAATTCTATTCTGCTCAGCCTAGTTCTTCAGTGTCTTCAGGAGTAGGCCCGGCCTCAATGTTCCTTAGAGCCTTCCCTAATTCCCTTTGTTGACTGTGAGCCCAGTCTAGTGGTTGGGATCCTTCAAGTCTTCCTTTAGCCTGCTTGGTTTTCTGTCTGTTGTCAACTCAATGCATGTTGCATTGATTAGGGAAAGCTTCTTAGAGAACAGGATTCATCTTTCATCATCAAATATGGAGGAGATTTTCCTAAGTGGTGAGCTTTGGAGAAGGGCAGTATCGATGTTGAAAAGATGAGGTTTGTCTGGGAGCAGAGAGCAGACCAACGTGTCTAAGCAAAGAATTCTGAGGAAGTTGAACACTGGAGACTGTCTTGGTCACCCTCSATGCTGAGCACCAGTATAGTACCCATAGAGTTATAGTTTGGATCTGGAATGTCCCCATAGACCCCCTTGGTTCACAGCCTATGACACTATTGAGAGGTGGTAGAACCTTTAGATGGGACTTTGTGGGAGGAAGTCAGGTAATCGGGGGTTGTCCTTGAAGCAGATATTGGGACCCTGGTCACTTCCTTTCTTTCTCTGCTTCTGGGCCACCATGAGGTGAACAGGCTACCTCTGCCATGTTCTCTCACCATGATGAACTGTGCCACTGCAGGCCCAAAGCAAGCAGGCCAAGTAACCAACTGTGAACGGCAACCTCTGAAACTGGGAGCCAGAACAAACCTTTCCCTGTTATAAATTGTTTATCTCGGTGTTTTGTGATAGTGATGCAAAGCTGACTAACGCAGTAGGCATCTAGTAAAATAATATTCAATAAACTAATACAAACACCCACAGGGAAATGATCTCATTTCAAATGACATTTTGAAGCTATACTTGAAAAGTCATAGTCTCTTCTTTTGGCTTCTACATTCGTTTTCTGTTGCCTAACAACTTACCATAAAACCTAGTCACTGGAGACCACATACATTTATGACCTCTCAGTTTCTGTAGGTCAGCAGTCTGGCGTGTGTTCTCTGGGTCCTCTGCTTAGACTTTCACCAAGCTGAAACACAGCTGCTATCGGGGGCTTCCATCTCATCTGAGGCTCTGTTCTTGACAGAGTGCAGTTTCTCACAGGTGTAGGACTGAGGAGCCTGCTTTCTTGCTTTCAAACAGGGGCCATTCACAGCTTGTGGCATGCTGCCCACCAGGACATGTGCTACTTCCTAATCAGCAGGAGAATATTTGAAGACATTATGTCCAGAAACTTCCCGAGTTTGATAAAAACTTTAATCTTTGTACTTAAGCAGTTCCAACTCTGAGTAAGAATTAAAGGAGAGGGAGAAAGGAAAGGATTCACCCCTAGGAACTTCAGATAGAACTGTTGAAAGCTGAAGGTAGAAACCTGAGAGCAGTAAGAAGGCATCATGCCCAAGGCATCCTCAGTAAGATTAACAAATGATTTCTCATCTGAAACCCTGGGGGACAGAAGGCAGTAGGATAACATTTAAAGTGCTGAAAGAAAAACTGTCAACCATGAATTTGCTGTTCAGCAAAACTCATCTTCATAGTTAAGGAAAAAATTTAAAAGCCAGTAGGAGAATCTCTCCAGCCTTGTCAGGACTCACCTGATCAGATCAAGCCCACCCAGGTTACTCTCCCCTTTGATTTAACTCAGAGTCAACCAATTAGGGCCTCATTATATCCACAAAATCTCTCTGCCACAGTCCACATAGGGGAGAGGATTGCGTAGGTGTATACATGAGCACCCTCCTCACATTGCCTACCAAGGCTTTGGTGTCTCTTTCAGTGGGTTGACCCTATTCTTCCATAATTTTGGTAAGTCCTAGCCCCCACCTGTTGACTCGAAAAATTCAGGAAATGGAGAAATGGCAAAGAAACCTAGGAAGCATAAAGATGCTGTTGGCTACAACAGAAAAAGTATACAAATGGCCTTAAAGTTGAAATTTCTAAATGACTTAAAAAAAAAAAARTCTCTCAGGCAGCAGAGCCTGATCAAAAAGCCAAGGGTTTGATCATCAGATTTCAGTTTCCACTTAATTACAGCTCTCAAGCCTTATTTTGACCTGTGAATTTCCACCTCATCTTATGAAACAAGAGTATTCCTGCTTCCAGGAAGGTTTGGAATCATTGAATAAATGATTGAGGGTCTCAGATTCTTATTATTCCCAACTTTTGATTTTATGTGCCTCAGTGATTTCATGTAAGAAGCCAGATTGCTTTTCCAGCCTACAGCCGGCTTGGTTAAGCGCTCTCTGCCTCTCTCTGATCCCCTCCCCTCCCACTTTCCTGTTTGCCAGTCCCCGCTTCAGCGTAGTCGAGTAGGGGAGGATTTCCCCACTAGGTCAGCATCCACCTGTTCTGGGCCTGGAGAAGGAAACTTGGAAGAAAATTGTAAACAGGTAGACCGGAAACCGCATACTAATTCCAAACAGCATACTTCATTGTTTGTGTTTATTAGATTATTAATACCAGTTACCAGAAAGATTTTGCAGAACCAAAAATTAATACAATACTGTGTGAGCGTGTGTGTGCTCCTGTCTCATTGTTGGTGTTGGGATGTTGTCTGATTAACCACCTTTCCAGCAGAACAGTGGTGTTGACTGTGGTGTAGACCACCACCACACCATGGATCAATGGGATGGTGAAAAGGAGACTAAATGAGGAAGGTCTGAAGGTTTTGAAATACCTTCTATTTGGTGATTTATGAAGCAATTTTAATAACAACCTCTGAAACCAGCAATAAAGAGATGTTTAATAAATTAGAAAATTCTTTGCTTTTTCTCCCAAATTTAAAGTTTCCCAAAATTAATATCAGCACAGAAGGATTTGCTAAAGCTTCATCTACATCCTGTCTGCTAGGAAGAATTTCTTCCTGCAGTGAGGTATACAGCTATTCAAGGTAGTTGGCAGCCCAGGAGTTCTTTTCAGACCACATCACTAAGATGTGAAGAACCTTTTATCCCATCCTACCCCCAAATCCCACTATAAGGGTGTGACTGAGAATCATTTCCTCTAAAGTTGCCATTTGATCCTTAAAGTTGCCCCGGAGTTGTCCATTAGAAAAAGCCAGCTGCACTCTGAAACTTTATTTTATGACCAAAAAGTCTTAATCTCTGTACAGCTTCAATTTAAAAATTATTTTTTAAAGAACATACTTAAATGATACTTGCCATTTCTGGAGCTTGGATCTCATTAGGAAAAGATTTTACATAGAAAGCACCATAAACCAATGACTTTTAAAAACTATATAAAATCGTTTGCATTTACATTTTGAAAAATGGGCCTTATTCATCTATACATCTAAGACACACACACACACAAGCACATCTGTCTAATTAGGTATAGTTTCAGAATTCCCTGTTTCTATTTGATTTCTTATTAAAACTCAACATTGGAATTATTGAAAACAGACTGGGTAGGGGTCAGAAGTGAAAAGTCTGTTGTGCACTTTCTTTTTTTAATTTTTTATTTAACCCAGAGACCCTTACCACTTACCACCTTGTCACTGAGCCACATCCCCAGCCCCCCCCCCCTTTTCTTCTTCTTCTTTTATTTATTAATTTTTTGAGTCAGGGTTCTCACTAAGTTGCTTAGAGCCATTGTGTGCCTGGCCGTTGTGCACTTTCTTTACCCACAGAGATAATTGTTGCTCATAGTAGGTAGCCATGAATTTACATAATTTTTAGACCTGCTGTTTTGCAGTCTTCCTATTCCTGAAAGATCCTTCATATTTTACAATTTGCTTCATGAAAAACATCAAGTTAGTGGCATTAGATAACCTATAATTTTGGGAAGAAATGTGGTCTCTTAAAGACAATGGCACATTTCACATAAAGATATATTATTTAAGAATTCATTGGTACATTTTATAGTTTGCAAATGGCATTTTCAGTCCTCAAATTCTAAGTGCCTGTCTTTTTTAATAAATTGTCAATGTGGATGTTATTTCCTGCTAAAATTCCAGTCCTTTCATTCTTTCTCCTTGCAGTGTAGTTTTTCCTGCATGTTTTTTCCCCTAACATCTATCTAATGAAATGTTTTAAATACACAGGTAACTTTGCATGATATTTAAAATTTGTTCTGTTATACAAAGGTACAAATCATGTTAACAGTACATTAAATTGGTTGTGAAATAGATTCCTTCATGTAATATATTAGTAAGGAAATGCAGAAAAGTATATTTTAGTACAACCAGTAATATTGTTTTTTGCCTGTATCACAAAAGTACACTTGTCACTTGTGATTTAACTTGGGTGAAAAGGCTATTACTGACTATCTTTGGAGATCAAGGGAAAAGATAGTGTGCTCTTTGCCCAATGCTTTGCTTTAATTAATGCTTTTGAAATGCTGAAAAAGTAATTTTTTATTCTGTTAGTCTACTGATACTTTTTGATTTGGGTCTTTGAATTTTTTTTTCTTTCTCCAGCCACAAAAGTAATCTTGTCCTAACTGGACCTAGAATTAATTTTAACATTGTAAAAGCATTGAGGTATTTTTTTTTGTATTTCTTTTTCCCAGAGAATTCTCAGCAAGCACATTTTTATAAAATATTTCCTGTCATGGGAAAAAGTATTTCAAATAATGACTGCAGTTCTAAAAATTACAGTCTTAAAAAGACTTTATGCTCTTAATTAAAAATGAATTTAAAAGTTATTGTATCCACAATAACAATTTTTCATAATTTTTTTCCTTCCTCTTGACTCTTAGAAATCAATAAATGCCAATCTGGTATTTACCAAAATTTTCTTTTGGCTTAGCTTTTGTAAACCAAGACCCTTGTAAATTAATTAATTCCTCCTTGGGCATTGCCTTTTTTTTTTTTTTTTTTTTTTTTTGGTATACTAGGGATTGAACCCAGGGATGCTTCAGCACTGAGTTACATTTTCCAGTCTTCTTAATTTTGAGACAGCCTCTTGCTAAATTGTTAATACTAGTCTCTTACTTGTGGTCTTCCAGCCTCAGCCTCCCGAGTGGTTGAGATTGCAGCTATGCGCCACCATGCCCAGCTCAGGCATTGCTTTTTAACTCATATTGCCTGCTACTAAATCAGTACAGCAGAAAGTACTTGCTGGAAAGCCTGATTTCACCTGGTACTCTTTTATCAGCTAATTGCTTCCCATATGCTGCCAGCAGGTCCTGCAATAGTCCTGCAATGTGTTGTCTCAATTAATAAAGAAAAGTAAACACTTTCCAGAAGGCAAAAGAGCATGTTTTTACTTAATACCACCCCATGTCCCATGTTTACTTTCCAAAATCATCTTGGCTTCTAGGCATAAAAGTCAGTTTTTCAGATGTATTTAAACTCTCCTCTTTATTGCTTAGTATTGCTTAGTCAAGAGAAATGGGGTTGAAGGAAGGAAGTTTCTTAGGATAACCGAACAGCCACTTATCTAGAAATTTATTCTCTCTAGTTTACACTGGGAGCCCTATTCAGATCTGACTTCTTAGAAGGGGAACGAGCAATCTTAAGCTTTTAAAAATTTTTTGATTGTTTTATTTATCTGTTTATCAAGTTTATAGTCAAACACAGTGATGTAGGCCTGTAATTCCAGTGCTCGGGAGGCTGAGGCAAGACGATTGCAAGTTCAAGACCAGCTTCAGCAACTTAGTGAGAGTCTACAAACTTGACAAGACCCTGTCTCAAAATTAAAAAAAAAAAAAAAAAAAAAAAAGAAAGTCTGGGCATGTGGCTCAGTGATTAAGTGCCCCTGGGTTCAATCTCTGTTACCAAAAACAAACTAAACAACTCTAATTAACATTTTGATGGAAATTAACTCTGATTCTTCTTCTAGGCAGCACAGATTGTGCTCATCTCTCTGTTTGAATTGAACACTCCGGAATTTACCATGTTACTTGGTGCCTTGCCCAAAACRTTCCAGGATGGTGCCACCAAACTGCTTCATAACCACCTCAAGAACTCCAGTAACACTAGTGTGGTGAGTGCCGGCTGCAGTTGGTGACCCAGTGCCCATCATGACCTTTGGGTGTCCCATATCTAGCACTCACACTGAGAGGAGAGCCAGCTGCCTTGTTCTCTCTGCTTTTATATTGTGGTATTCCTCAAGGTGGGATCATGTCGGATCCTGGCATATTCCTGGAGAATGAATGAACCTGACACTGATAACAGCCTTTTTCTTAGTTTGTTTGATCAGTTAAATTTTTACTTGATCATATTTACTCATTCTTTGAGTCTCTCTTACCTTTTAACACTAAAAGAGGCAAAATGCTCAGTCATGTCTGTTACTTTAGCACAGCTGATTCAGTCATTCAGCTCCAAGAATGCCTGTATCCAGTTTTGGTTTATATGCACTCAAAATGGGCCCTGTGATTCTGGGAGAGGGAGTTATTGTGGCAGATTTTRTACATTTACACATGAGTTTAAAAACCAAGGGAAGAGGGGGGTTGTATTCTATAGAAAGAATTTGGATAACTTTTGCTTACTCTGCTTTCACCCCAGGGATCTCCAAGCAATACAATTGGCCGGACACCCTCCCGACACCCCAGCAGCAGGACCAGCCCTCTGACCTCACCTACCAACTGTTCCCATGGGGGTCTATCACCAAGGTAAGCTTACTTCCACAAAAATGAAGAAACAAAAGGACCCTAATGTCTGTGCAGCCTGTTTCTGGATTTTTAGACTAAATTTATTGTCAAAAAAGAGTATTGACTCAGAAGACAATGGTTTCTTAGTCTTTGCTCCACCTGTACCTGGGATCCTGGGCAAAGGGGTAAAATGAGGAGTTTGTGCTAAATGTTCTTCTAGTTCTAAATGCTCCCTAATACTCCAGACTGCTGCACATTCTTGGCAAATAAGATTGCAGAGCAGAAAGGCACCTCTGAGTCCCCTGTTTCGGGGGTGCGGGGGTGCGGATGGACTGGGGGCTCTCTACCACTGAGCCAAACCTTTTCTTTTTTGAGACAGGGACTCATTAAAATTGCTTTGAAGTTGCAATCCTCTTGTCCCAGCCTCCAGGTCACTGAGAGAACAGGCATGTGCCACCATACCTTGTTTAACACTTATAAATTTTAAAACTAGAAGCTCATCTAGTACTGTTTGCATAGAATCCATGAGGAAGTTTATTACCTGTTCYCCAAGTGATAGGAGAACCTGAAGGTATTTATTTAATCAGAGAAACCCTCTATCATCAGTCCTTACTAAGTTTGGTCTACTTTTTCCAACCATTTGGCCAGTCCAAGCATAGTTACTCTCCTGTTTGAAGCTAAATGCCAGGCTGGAGGATTGTGATTTAAAATCTGAGAATTAAATTGCATCAGCATGGCCAGGCATGGTGGTGCATACCTATAATCCTAGTGACTTGGGAGGCTGAGGCAGGAGGATTCCCAAGTTTGAGGACAGCCTCAGCAACTATTTTTTAAAAAGAGCGGGGGATGTGGCTCAGTGGTAAAGTGTTTCTGGGTTCAATTCCCATTACCCAAAAAGAAAGAAAGAAAATTTGGATCAGCATATTCAGACTCCTATTGGGACCATGCAACAGTGGCCTTAGAATCTGGGACAGTGACTTCAAAAGAGAAAACACTTTGCCATGGCATCTTTAGATAATACTTCTCCATCTCATCAGAGCCTTTAGAAGTCTGTATAGTGGCTTTAGTGACTCCCTCCCATAACTTGGCCCCAGAGGTCTGAATTTTTCTGGACCAGCAATGTTCACACACACTGTGAAGTCCAGCTCTTTGGGCTCACTAACAGTAAGAACCAAGAGGCTTTTGTCCTGAGGGTTACTGGTACCAAGATCTTAAAATGAAACTGAAGTACTGCCATTTTCCCTTTAAGTTTTTACCTCTTTGTTTTTAAATTTATATTTTTAAAATTATATTGTTAAATGATCCCATCTCACAAACTCCTTCCTTACCACTGAACCTCTTCATTTCCTCAGTTACCCTGTAAATATTTTGGAGTGTATCAAATTTGCATTTTTCTCTTGGTGAAATGAAATAGTTTCTACTGCCTTATGTGTATCCCTCCAAATGTCCCCATTCTATAAGTATAATGAAGTCTGATGTGCTAATCTCCAAGTCTGGTCTGTGCTGTCAGGATTCCAAGCAGGCTATTAAGAGTTGAGGCCAGAAACTAATGAACCATATGTCTGATTTTCCCCAGGTGAGAATGGGAGTCCACCAGCTTTTAAAATTTTTTTTTATTTTTTTAATGCTAAGATTTGTATCTAAATTATATGGTTTGTCTTAAATGACTAGGATCCAGTGCTGATAGTATAATTTTATAGAAAATTTGCATTCTCTATGAGTTGTTGCCTTCATCTAGATGTTATACTTCTACGACATTAATTGTAAAATCTGTTCTTCCATAATATACATTTCATATATCTTTTACCTATTGCATTATTAGGGTGTCACATTCTTCAGGTAATAAGCCACAAGGTATAACTCAAATTATTTTTTCCATACACTAGTAGCCTAGGTGAGACTTTGATGAGGGCTGTTAGTGGAATCCCAAAGAACTGGCTAGAAAATAGTCTTCATAGATCTTCAAATCATTAAAAATTTTAGTTTACTTTTCCAGCTCACCTTTCCTCTTTAATTGGCCTCATYTTAATTATTACTGTTAGGATTACAGAATAATGGGAGAAATTAAGAGATTTGTATTCAGTATTAAAAATCCAAATGTGGCCTACATATTTTCTTGTGGACAAATTCTTCTTTAGATAATTATTTACATAGCTTCTTTCTTTAAAAAAAAAAAAAAAATGGCCTGCAATTCAGTGCTGAAATAGCCAAATGACTGTAGTCAACTTGAGCTCAATAGGATAAATTATTTTTCTTACAACAGAGGGTGTCCTGCAGTGGGGGACATGCCTCATGTTGTTGTGGCACTAGAAGAAATAAGAAAAACTCAAATAGGCTACAAACTGTCTAAAAGGAAAAGAAGTGAATTCTTACACTAATAAGAGAATGGGTATTTGCCATGTTCTAAGGAGGCGAGAAACAAGGTCTGCAGTACACAGTCTCAGCAATTTTTCTGAGCAGTGCTCCTGAAATAAAATCTGCCATACCATGTTATGTTTTTATTCATATATAGTTGTCAATGGGCCTTTATTTTATTTATTTATATGTGGTGCTGAGAATCGAAACCAGTGCCTCAACACATGCTAGTTAAGCACTCTACCACTGAACCACCACCCCAGCTCTAGGTTTTTATTCTTAAGGGGAAAGTTATCACCAATCATTTATTTTTAATCTAATTTTGAGTGTCAAAATAAACTAGGAATTTTGGTAGTTTTCACAGTTTTTTGGTGCAAAATTTTTATGCTTGGATCATGGTAATTATAAAGAACCTTTCCAAAATGGTGAATAAATCTAATTTGATAGAGTTTTAAAACATCATGGGTAAGGAAGTCATTTTTATCAGCCCATCGATAACAGGTTAAATAAACTTTTGTAAAACATCCCTTTAATGACTACCTGTTACCAACTAATTGTTGTTGATATTTAGTGAGATTTATGAACTGTGTTTTTCATTATTAAATACATTTATGTTTAAGCTCATTTTACGTGGTATGATTTTATGGCAAATGAAAAACAGAGTTGCAAAGAGCTTCAGAAATTATCTGAAGTTCATTCCCATCAAGAAAACAAAGCAGGTGAGGGTTTTGCTCCAGACTGCTGCACATTCTTGGCAAATATATTGCAGAGCAGAAAGGCACTGCATGGATCACCTCTGAGTGCCCTGGCAATGGAAAGTAATTTTAGGTGGATTTTACATTTTTATGTCAGAGAATCAAAAGCATCCATAGAATCAAAATAGGGGTTAGCAGGGAGCCTCTGCCCCGTACTTGCAGATGGGCACATCTGTTTGGTCTTCATCCATCAGCAGAACCCCAGCTTAAGGGTGTCACCATATTCCTCTAGTGCCCAACCCCCTGTGTGACTTGGAGGGTTTCAGACCCTCCATGGCACAGTGACCTCTTATCTCCACACCGTATTTTCCTTATAAAATAGGGACCTTAACAAAAGCTCAGAACCTTGACAAAAGCACATGCTGGGACTCCCCTGTTGGCCAAGGCAGGACTGCTCCACAGAAGCCCTGCCTCATACCATGAACTTCACCCCACGTTCTCACCCCACTTCCCAGCCAGCTCAGCTCCTGCCTCCTGGTCTCTCGCTCCACCCTTTAGATTGCAACTGAGCTTGGACATTTCCATCATGGTCTCTGCAAGCCTAAGTCAGCTAGTGACATTTGGGAAGTGAAGACAAATACCTGTATTTTAGTGAGAATTTTAGTTCTCATATCAAGTAATACTAGCAGACGAATCAGATTCCTAAACTGGCCAGCTGAGGCTAAATGCCCCAAACAAGGTTCTGCCATTCTTTTAGAAAAAAAAAAGTGCCTATCTCTGAACTCTGATTGGATTGCAGCCTCAGAGCACTCTGTCCCATACCAGGTTGCCCTCTGTTCGAATAGCATGGTTTCTAAGTCTCCCTGGTGTGCTCACTCTGGTCCCATTTGAACCGAGGCCCCATAATTCCTCTTTCTAAATAACTGGTGAGTTGTCCAAAACTGAACATCCATATTTTCTTGTGTGTTAAGTGTTTATAATGCTCTTCCCAGCTCAAGCAGCAGGTATACACACTCTCTTTCATTGTTCACACATGCACTGTCAGACTCACAGATGCACAAACTCTCACAGGCACACTTGGAATCTCATGTGACTTTTAGGTGGTAAATGCGTCCTGTGGTTGGCAGAGAAGAGAATGAAGCGGTCTAATTAAGGACCAACTATAAAACAAAATGTGTTCTTTTTCTCTGAATGGTGAAGTGTTAATTTTGTTCCAGCTAAGTTTGATAGAACTTTTTTCAAGGAAAGAGGAGCGTGTAAGGCACTTAGAATGTAGCGTCTTCCCTCCCCTGCCCTGTGCCTTCTGTGTTTGTCTCTCTGATTTTCCTCTTCTGATCACTGCAGTCGGTTGTGGGGTTGGAGTGCCGATGGGTTATCGAAGCACCCACCTCCCTTTTCTCAGCCTAACTCCATTCCCACCGCTCCCTCCCACAAGACTCTCAGGCGCTCTTACTCTCCCAGGTAACACCCTACCTGTTAAACTTGTCTGAGGTGTCACAATATTATTACATTTCCACGGTCGTCTCAGGTGTTTTGGAAGGCCTCTCAGCTCCTCCACCTTGATTCCTGCCTCAGCTTAGCCTAGCAGGAGTAGAGCCTTGGTGAGAAGTGTGAGCAGGTGTGTGACCTGGGCCAAATCTCATGAACTAGTATGCGCCATGTTTCAGCGACAATGACAGTGACCCTTTTATCACCTGACCAGATTCATCACTGTCTGCTCTCATGAGTATTTTGGCCCAGTGCACTGCTCAGCCCCTAGAAGCAGCTCAGGAAAGGTAGTTGAGAGTGGGAACAGTCTCCTTAGTAGGTTTCTCAGGCACAAGAGGCTTTCCACCCCGGAGCACACAAGACCTGCGCTTCCCTGAACCTCACAGGTGGCCGTCAGCCTTTCTGTTACTGTATGGACTGACTTCCTTTCTCACGTACTGTGTCACATGGTGATACTCTTGAGCACACAGATCCAGACAGAAGTCCCAAGAGATGGCGTCACTGTTGCTTCTCACTAAAGAATGACCCCTTCTCGGCAGGAAAGCTGTTGGTCATCTTGCAAGCCCATCATCAGTGCTGAGTGACATTCCCTGATGCTGGTTGACTGTGGCAGTGTTAGGCATCTAGAAGAAGGAAGTGTGCTTCTCTCAGGTATTAAGGCAGATGATAGGTCTGCAGGACCAAGAAGGATCTGTGTAATACTACAGATGCCTGATTAGGGGCTCTTGGGTGCAGAGATGAGACAGTCATTTGCCAGAAGTCCGTAATTACATGAGCAGAGCACCAGGCAGTCTGGCTGTCACTGTGCTTTCAAAGAAGATTTTGTGCCCTCTGTGATAGAATGAGGATTCAAAAAGCAAACAACAAAAACAGTCTGAAGTTTTGAACTGCTTCACAGATAGCTTTTGCACAGAAGATTTGCATTCCTGCTTTTATGTCCCCAGAATAACAAAACTGAACACGGTATACAGGTTAACAGAATGCTTTCTTTCTTTTGAAGCTCTCACAGGTCTGAAAGTAACTTGTAAAATGTTCAGAGAACCCTGTGGTGACTGTTTCTAGATATGCAAGTTTAAGCCAAGCAGAGAACACTGCTCTCTTTAATATTAACAAAATGTGTCACTTTTTAAAGTTAACCTTGTCTTATAGTTTGGATCAGTTTACTGATAGTCTTCCAATATATTGCCCTGCATGCTAAGCCTCAGCCCCAGCCAGCCAACAGGGCTGTCTCTAGAATCATCCCATCCCTAGAATCATCTTTCCCATAAACACAAAATAATGTATATTGATCTAACTCACCAGTGGATAACACCTTGAAAAGGAGTCTGTGTCTATCTTTTTGCTCTGTGCCAAAACCCCACTGATTTATCACTTAGTCCCCATATCTATTATGCTTAATCTACAAAATGACAAAGAGGAAAGCTTCAGCAAGCAGCTTCCTCTCTTTCTTGTTTCTTCTTGGAGACTTGACCCTGCACTCCTCCCGACTCCTGATAGGACAATTCCAGAGCTGTATTCAGCTGCAGTATTGGGTAACATGGTCTGACCTCAGGTTAATGACTATTAACAGATAGAATAACTTCCTAATCTAAAGAACTCTGAGGAAGCACTTTGGGGTTTAAACAGAGTGCTTACAGGTGATCAGGACCTGGCCTTTGACCTAAAGACTTTGTGCTGGGATCATCTAGGGCCTGACACAGACCACGGTGCAGGCAGCTAATGGAGTCTCTTCTCAGTGGGCTTCTGGGCCCTCCTGCTGTCCCTGAGAAGTGCTTTCAAGCCCACTCCCTGACAACAATCTTCCTGGGAAGACCCTTCCTCTCTGTGAAGTGAGGGCTTCTAGTATTGATTGGGAAAGGCAAGTCAAGCCAAAGCATAGAACAGCAGAGAAAGTAACTGTTCCCTGGTTGGAAAGCAGTATGTCTCTCACCTGGAGCTCACCATTTTAGCTTCATACCAAGGAGATACTTCAAAGCTCAATCTAGCGATCCTGAAGGAGTCCTGTTTGAAGTGGGTTTATTCATTAAAAGTGAGAAGGAGGAACATTAACTGGCAGAATCCTTTATTTTCTTATCTTCAAAAGAGGCTATTATAATGGTAAAGTCAATTAAACTGAAATGAAGTGTTTGAAGAAAGTTCAGGTTGAGAATCATGACATGAATTTATCTGAAAGCCAACATTCTCTGAAGCGACACACGGAAAATAATATTGTGACATCCCGTAATAAACTGACATTCTGCCAGACTGCCTCTTGTCCATCCATCACTTTCAGTTTTTTTGGTTTTGTTTTTTACTTTTGCATGGGCTATGCTATTATTTTTTTATTATTGTGACAAAGTATTTTAAGGCATTTTTTTACACCTTGTATATATATTTTGTTTGAGTCATAATTCTCAGTCTTTATATATGAAATAGTGTACTGGTCAGATGTATAAATGCCTTTGTCTGGAAGTAAGCTGGTATTGCAGCGTTCCTAGGAAAGGGGGCTGGGAGGGGGCTCTGCTCCCCAGTCGTGCTTTCTGCATATCCAGAACTTAGAAGAGGTTGATATCTTGAATTTTGTTCAGGTTCTTATTCTACCTTTTGTTAGAATATACATGGAGTTTCACTTGCAGATATGTTCAAGTTCACATTTATTCATTTGGTACCAGAGCAAGGCTTTGAGTTGGCATGTGTTTTTGTGAACTCTTCAAATATAGTCTGGGTGTGTGTTTTCTTTCATTTGTCAAGAAAGAATGATCCTGTCTGGGCCAGTTTTGCCATCTTAGGCACATAGCTTCCATTTCTGGAAGGAGTTCAGATGTTCTGCAGAAGCCAAGCCAGCCTTAGAAGACACTTGGATTGCTGCACCCTCCAGCCAGCAGAGAGCTGGCTACTCGAAGTGGTACCTCTCCACATCATCTGCCCAGACCTTCTCTTTTCTTTTCTGTTTTTAGGTAAAGGTAGGGACTTACTAAAAGTTATTGCTTTTCAATTACAAGATTGCATGGGTCGGTTGTGTTGCTCTTAGGAAGGGTTCCTAACAGTAGGTGCCTAGTTTCTTCATTGTCTCTCTCTTGAAGAGCAGAAAATTACTTTTCTTTAGTTCTTAATAATTATCCATACTTACTAACACACACCAAGGATTCTCTGAATGTCCCTAACTGTCCTCAACATAGCTAAGGACTTTCTGAAAGTTAATTTAGACTAACTCATCTCATCTTTTCTTGAATACTTTGCTGAAACAAGTGACATTTAAACTAGGTTATATTTTTTTTTTCTGACTTGTTCTCAGTTGACTGTTAAATAATGCTTGCTTTCTTTATATCAGTATATCCCGTTTTTGGTCTTTGTTATTCTCAGTAAGAGATGGCAATGAGTTTTGTTCTCAGGGTCCTCTCTGTTTCAGTGTACTTTTCTGACATCTAAGGACACTCGTTGGCAAATGGCATTACACCAAAAGACTTCACATTTTTGCTTCATGTCATGTTTTACTCAGCATCTCAAAGGACAGCAACTGACATCGATTTCCTTGAAGGACAGGTGTATCTTGCTTTTCGGAGTGTTTTTATATGTCTGTCCAGGAAGGTAGCCAATCTTTGTAAGATCCACCTTTACTATAAAACTCAGTGTAGAAGCATCTAGAGGAGTGCAGTGTTCACAGCAAGCTCCTGGATTGGACAGCTGGTAGTTAGATTCTCAGGAGCCTAGTAGGGTGGATCTGACTTTGAGCCACAGGGTAGTTTTGTTCTTGTTTTTTCATGTAGGATCTTCCTAGTTTTCGAGGTTGGTTGCTGATGGGCAAACATACCCCAGTCTTGTGAAGTCATTTGCTCTGCTCCTCTTGAAATTTGTTTGTAATAGTATTTTATTTCCAGGTGCCAGTTCTCTTAATTAAGTTTGTACATTTGAGACCAGTAACAACCAAACTAGTTTTTTCCATCTTCAAAATGAGAAAGTTGTTTTTCCACTTTCATTACCTCGTGCATTCAGTCACCAGTTGTCACTCTTTGAGTTCTTGCATTCTTGTGGTTATCGTTGTTTCCCACTGGTTCTTGAGTGCTTATGTAATGTGTGGGGGGTCAGATTTGACAAGGAAGATGTACAGTTGTCCAGTGATGGTACTCTAACCAAAGATGTCTCTTTTTCATTCCAAATCACCCAGAGAAACATGTTTATATCTTGTTCTGTAAATTACTAAGTGATTTATGCCCATATCTCAGTTTTATGCATGTGCCTCCATTTAAGAAATAAAACATTTTTGCTCTTTAGCATGCTGGACTATGACACAGAGAACCTGAACTCTGAAGAAATCTATAGTTCTCTGCGGGGAGTTACAGAAGCCATTGAAAAGTTTAGTTTCCGAAGCCAAGAAGATCTGAATGAGCCAATTAAGCGCGATGGCAAAAAGGACTGTGATATAGTAAGTATCTTCAGGCTAACAGAGAACTAAGTATTGATTACCTGACGGTTACTGAATCTTCTGAACCCGACCACCAAGGTTACAGAGCTTCATCGTTATTTTTATCCTGTACTTAGAATAAGTATTTTTAGAGGCCCAAGGCACATTTACAAAAATTCAGAAAAGTCACCGTGACTATCTTTGCAAGGAATATCAAATGTCCTTTTCTCAGTTTGCTTTTGTTTATCCCATCTTTTGTTCCTACTATGTGCATAAAATGGTGACCCTGAAACAGACACCAGCCTCCTGGGAGCTTGTGGGAGAGCCAGGCAAGCAAGCACAAGATGGTTGTGCAGTGGATGTGGTCAGGACTCACACCCACAAACCTGGTGCTAAGAAAGCTGCTGCAGAGGTGATATGGCCCTCTGGGGTGACCTGACGGTCAGGAGTCTGTCAGCAGGAGAGTCGTAGTCAGGCAGGGCCTGTGTGGAGGTCAGGAGAGGAGAGCAGCCCAGAGTTTGTTCATATTCATTATGGCTGAAGTGGAGAGTGGGTGGACCATGTTGTTGGGGAGGTTTTCAAAGAAGAGCCTCAGAGGTCAGCTCAAGAAGAGCCCACACACTAGAGGAATTTCTAGCCTGTTCCTTGACTTTGCCCTGGGGACAATGGAGAGTCTTTGAAGGATTTTTAAGCAGGGAAGTGGCATGGTCCCACTTAACATTTTAGAAAGATTGCTCTCACTAGAGGAGGATGGAGAATAATTCTGGAGGAAGTGACAGGGCAAGAACAGAAACAGAAGAGTCTGAAGTCAGAGCTGGTGCCGTTCAAGTATATGGTGACCTCTTGGAGCCATAGTAAATTCAGCTGTGGGTGTGTGAACAGTAGGACCTGTGAAAGAAGYAAGCCTCATGGTCATTAGGCCTGTAAAGATGCCAGTCAGGAGTGTCAGCCAGTGCCTGAGGGCAGAGGAGTGGCTTGATGGTAGTGAAAAGAACAGGGAGTCAAATCCCAGGTGAGGTTAAGGACAGAATCCCAAGGACAAGTGATGCCAAGAGAGTGAACCAGGGAGCCTGTGGTTATGGGAAGTGGGCAAACTGTTGAGGAAGGACTTTCTAGACAAAGAGGTAACAGGTCAGAGGTGGAATAAATTGGTGCCAATGGGTTCTTTAAAACTATTTGCATTGAATATTTAATTCTGTTTAAACCTAAATTATATGAAATATGCATTTACTTCAAAATGTTTTAATGTAAAATCAAGAGCTTTTCTTTGAGAATGAGGCCATTGTTTGGACTTCCATGTTTTTTTTATCTTAAGTAACTTTATACACATGGACTATAATTTCCAAATTCAGTTTCTTCCAAGAGTTAATTGGCTTTTGAAGGCATAGTTCAGTGCAGAGATGAGAATGGATACCAGACTACAGTGGGTTGAGGAAGCACATAGAGAAACTGGGAAGAGATGGGGTTCATTCAAGGGGCTTTTCAGGTGGGAGAGACTGACCTAAAAATCTCTGTTTATACCATGGAAGGGAGYAGATGATTCATGAACACAGAGCCTTCAGGATGTGGGGCATGAGATGTGGGCCCAGGTGGAGCAATTGGCCTTAGCCAGGAAGGAGAGAGGGTGGGCGTGTGGGGAGGACAGGGACTGTGTTCCCACTGCGGCTCCTGCTCTGAAGCCTGGGGCTTGGGGTGGGGAGGAGAATGAGAGGTATCTCCAAAAGCCCCCCTGGGAGTGAGGGGATCTGACTGAGGAAACGGAAGTCCTATCAATACAGTAGAGAGCCTAGGAAAACAGAGCTCTACCAGGGATTACTTTATCCAGTTATAACTGTAACATATGCCCAATGTATATTTAGATAATGGAAAGAAAAGAAATTGCTATCTCTAGATATAGCCACAGTTATTTTGTTCGCGCGCGTGTGTGTGTGTGTGTGTGTGTGTGTGTGTGTGTACACACACACACACATTTAGGGCAATATGTAATATTGTTTTTATAAAAATGCCATCAGGTTCCTTTTTGGTTCATAAGAATGATGATGAGAACAGTAGATGTGGAACAGTAGACTTGAAAGGCCTGCTATATTCCAGAGGTGGGGCTGTTCCTAAGTGAGGATGTGACTAGAAAAGGTAGAGTGAAAAGTAACAGTAGAGCCAAAAAATCACACTGTTGTGTGAGCTGTACAGATGTGCCTTCCTCCAAACCTAGTTATGATATCAACACATGACCTATCTGACGTGGGGGACTGGGGTGATATCATATTGTGTGTCCTGCTTGGCACAGGACATGCGTGCTTTCCCCATTGGTATTCCTCRGTGTGAACTTTTATGGTTGCGTGATAATTCAGCATGTGTATGGGACGTGTACCCAGTGGCCTGTTTTGGAACATTTAGGTGATGTATAATTTTTCACCAAAGAAACCGCAGTGAACATGGAAAGAAGTGAAGCTTGATGGGAAGAAGTAAAGAGGGCAAAGCTTGAGAAGCCTCGCATTATTTGGAGGCAGGGTCTTACTAAGTTATGTAGGGCCTTGCTAGATTGTGAGTCTGGCTTTGAACCTGCAGTCCTCCGGCAGGTGTGCACCACTGCTACAGCTCTTCCATACCCTTTAATTCATCCTTAGGTTGCTTACAATACCTAATACAATGTGACTGCTGTGTAAACAGTTGTTATACTATATTGTCTAGAGAATAGAGACAAGAAAATGAAGTCTGTATGTGTGCATTACAGATGCATGGTTTTTATCTGAATAGCTTTGACCTATAGCTGGTTGAGTCCACAGATGTGGAACAGTAGACTTAAAGGGCCTGCTGTTTTCCAGAGGTGGGGCTGTTCCTGAGTGAGGATGTGACTAGAAAAGRTAGAGTGAAAAGTAACAGTAGAGCCAAAAAATCAAAGTGTAGGGCTGGTGTTTGGTTCAGGGGGAGAGCACTTGTCTGGCTTGCTCAAGACCCTGGCTTCTGTCCCCAGCACTGCAAAGAATTGAGGAAGTTTGCAATCCAGCATCTTCATCATAATTACTAACTGGTTAGCTGAGAAGCTGAGGTAGGGCAAAACTGCATTGAGTGTAGAAGTCAGGAGTATGTCTCCCAGAGCCGGATGAGCAGACCCAGCCTGGATGGGGGAGGACCACAAAACGAATGTCCCATCCAGTGGGAGCACAGCTCACATGAGGAGAAACAARAGTGTCACACATGGGGGAAAGTCCCCCCTAATGAGTAATCACAGAGTACAAGGCATGGAAATTGAAGTCCTATTCTGCTTTTAAGTAGACATCATTTAATGGTAGAAAGGTTATAAGAAACTAGGGCAATATTAGTGGCTTGGAAAAGTGATATAGTTGTTTTAGAATATATATACAAATGTGATTTTCATATCCTTTACCCAATAATCTGTGTTAAATAAGGAACTCGGCAAAAGAAAAGAACAATTTATTTATTTATCTAAATAAATAAATAAATTATTTCCACAAAGTTGTGTATTTAACATTATTTACGTAGCAAAAAGCAAACYTTTTTTTTTAATATAGAAGGGGAATAGTTGTGTTAATCTTATTTAAAAAACAAATAAAAATTAGTGATATGATTAAACATGATGGCTACAAAACTTTATTCACACATGAAATGCTTATGGAGTAAGGAAAGCAAGATATAAACTGCTACATACCCTGGGGTTCCTCCACCCTGCATAAAGTCCACATATAGACCAAGAGTGGGATGATAAATATGAAACAAAAGTAAGATTTTATTATTGTTAAAGGTGATTAGAACTAGGGTTGTGTAGCATTATTTTTTAAATGTCTGAAGTTATTTAAATCTCTTTCCTTTAATAAAAGGTGTTTTCATTATAGTAGCAATCTATTTTTTAGAAGAATTTGCAAAGAAAAAATTAAAATCATCTCTGAATTGTCTTTTACTCAGAGTAACTGCTATTGAGATATGATTATATCTTTTTAGTCTTAATTTGTTCAGGCCTATGCATGTATTATATCCTTTATCTTAATTAAATTGGTATAAAATTATTTGTGGATGTTAAAAGCCAAATGCTTATCAGCTTTTTCACTAGGTATAGATCCAAAAGAATTGAAAGCAAGGTTTTAAACACRTATTTGTATACCAGTGTTCATAGCAGAATTATCCACAGTAGACAAAAAGTAGAAACAACCCATATGTCCATCAACAGATGCATGAATAAAGAAAACATGATAYGTAGAGACAATGGAATATTATTCAGCCTTAAAAAGGAATGGAACCTGATATGTGCTATACCTGGTTGAATCTTGAAAAACATGCTGAGTGAAACAGTCATAAAAAGGCAAATATTTTATAATTCCCTTTATTTGCAGAAAAATTCATAGAGACAAAAATAGAATAGAGGTTATGGAGTGGGGAAAGAAGGGAAARGAAGTTATTTTTTAGTGGGTGTAGAGTTTTTATTGGGAATGATGCAAAGGTTTTGGGTGTACATAGTGATGATGTTTACACAACATCACCAGTGTATTTAATGTCACCAAATCGTACATTCACAAGTGATTAAAATGACATGTTATAAGTGTTTAACTATGAGAAAAACAAGCAGCAGCCCAAGGAAAATGTTGCCTTGCAGTCCCCAGGGTGGTCCGGCTGCCTGGGAGCATGTCCCCCGTACTTTGGCAGTCAGTGTCTGGGTGAGAGAGCCTGTCCCATTGCCGTTGGTCAGCCCATACTGGCTCGGTTACAGTGCCATCCTGCAGAGGGGGCTAGCCAGGCCAGTGTGCCTCAGGAGAGGCCCCTAGGGATAGAGGGGCCAAGACATGGTGTGGGGCCATCAGAAGACTGGGGCTTTGGTTTTTCAAAGACAGTTCTTACAGTATTCTTAGGGAAAAAAAAAAAAAAAACAGAACTCAGAAAATAACGAAGATTAATTCTTTGACCCTGAGTCAGAACTATCCAGAGGAGAAGTGCCTCTGCCCAGGAGGTGCTGAGGTCCCCCTCGGTGGAGATGACCGCTATTGTCTGGCCCAGCCTCATGAATACATACCGGAACTGACCAGGGGGCTGGAGAGCCTTAGGTTTAGTGATCGCAGCTAGGAGTGTCTCTTGGGGGACTTTGGCAGGGCATCTGTGAGAGGCCTCACCCTGGTCTGGGACACACAGACCTCACTGTCACACATGAGGGTCCTCGAGTACTGGTCACAGAGGGCCCGGCTTTCCCTTCCCAAGATTCTTCAGAATGTCATGGAATCAATCCCTTGGAAATGCTCAAGTACAACCAATCCCCAAATAACAGAGTAAAGTAGATGTAAGTGTAAGTGGATGACTGGGTGGACACAACAATCCCGAAGGTGTATTCCCCTTTACGGTAGCTTATGAGATGCTCCTAGCTGTTCTTTTGTCAGTGGCCAGGTTTCCAATGAAAATCTCTGGCCATAGTAGTATTTCTGGGCATTCAAAGAAAACCTGTGTTGACAGTCCCAGAAGGGAACTGACTGTGTGCTGTGTTCCAGGTGTCCCGTGACGGAGGAGCTGCCTCGCCAGCCACCGAGGGCCGGGGAGGCAGTGAAGGGGAGGGAGGCAGGACAGCTCTGGACAACAAGACCTCCCTCCTCAACACCCAGCCTCCGCGTGCCTTCCCAGGACCGCGTGCACGGGAGTACAACCCGTATCCCTACTCGGACACCATCAACGCCTACGACAAGACCGCCCTGAAGGAGGCCGTGTTTGACGATGACATGGAGCAGCTCAGAGATGGTTTGTCTCTTTGCTTGGGTTGTCCTTCATCCAGAAATGCCTTCCCTCTTGTCAGACCATCCCTGAGCGTACTGATCAATTATAAATGGAAATACTGGGTCTGTGCTGTTCAGTTGTTGGCTCAGACTCCACTTACTGAATCCTGACCTGTGCTTAGGCATGCGAGCACTCAGTGGACAAAGCCTCAGCAGTCCCGGCCCTCTGCACACTTGCAGTCTGGTCATGGAGACACCAGGAATAAATAATCATACCAACTGTGTAAAATCGCAGCCGGGACAGCTATGCAGAGAAGGCCAGCTAGCTCCTCCACTGGGGAGACATCATGAGGAAGCCAGGCCTGAGTGGGCAGGAGCTGATGGGGAGGACATCCTAGCACAGAGCTCAGTGCACAGTGTCTGGGAAGGCCTTGACCTCTGCCCTCCCAGCTCCCTCAGCCATGGAAGTGAGATCAGAAGTACCCCCAGAGGCTCCCCTCTTCTCTCCCAGTAGCCCTTAGGCAGCCCTCCCTGAGCTGTGCCATGGTGAGAGGGAGACCAGGTAGCATCACGGAGCGCTTGCCTTACCACGCGTGTGCGTGGTGCTGAGCAGAGTACTCATCTCACTGAAATAGAGGCCTTCTTTCCCAGTTCACATATTAAGAAACTGAGGCTCAGAAAGGTTATGTTTCTTGCATAAAATATAACATAGGTAGTCCGCAGTAGAACTAGCCTGGGTTTTTCCTTACTCCCATATTAAGACCAGTGTCCAAGGACTAGTGATAGAGGGCCCTGGATTCAACCCCAGCACCAGAAAAATAAAAGAAAAAAGATCAGTGTTTATTATTAAGTAACAAGTAAGAATGTATAGTTTTGAGGGTATATATTTAATCTAGAGCTTACTTTTATCATTTTTTACCTCACTTGTCATGTTCACTTGCTTTATTTCCACTTTATAGTGACTTTTAAAATTTCACATATATCTGAGCCAGGTTAGGTGGTGCATGCCTATAAACCCAGTGACTTGGGAGATCGAGGCAGGAGGATTGAAAGTTCAAGGCCAGCCTGGGCAACTTAGTAAGACCCTGTCTCAAAATTAAATATAACAAGGGCTGAGGATGTATTAACATCCCGTCCCCCCCACCAAAAAAAGAACAAAAGAATTTATGTGTATATGTCTTATGTCAAAGCCTACTGTTTTATTTTTGAGTGAATAATTAACTGAGAACCCTAAATTAGAACGCTAAGCAATGAACATCCACTCACCTGCCTTCTGTACGTTGTGAAGTGTGAGGGCCTGGGTGGCCCAAGCCTGTTGGGTAGCAGGCTCACAGTGATCACACGAGTATGAGAGGAGGGCTACGGGAAGGGCATATGCCAGATGCAGAGACACAAGGAGAGAGAGGGATCAACAGTGACAGATGTTGGGTTTGAAAAGAAGCCCTTCAGTGGTCCAGGAGCTGGAGAACAGACCCTGCTGGCTGTCCACTGCCACTGCGGTGTGTAGGCACTTGGCATCTGTCCCAGCACTGTTCCCTGGGCAGTGGGCTCAGGGTGTGTGCTCTGGGTGACTGTGTTTTCTGGGAGAAGTGGCCTGTTTTCTTCATTGCTTGTAGAATTGGAACATCATTTACCTTATCCATTATTGATTTTGATTAAGGTCGAATCGAGATTAGAATATCAGTTATTATTTATCTACCAACTGTGTACTAAAAGGCTTAAAGAAAAAGGTGGGATGGCAAGGGGGAAGTGACAAGCTTCTTTGAACAATTTAAACTTCCTTGTGTGCTTTTCTTCCTAATGTCAGAAGCTAAAGAAATATGCAAATATACATTTCAGTAGTTCTTCATATTTGCTTGATTTGTCTGTTTTCCTCTCTCTTTAAAGTTGCATATTCAGAATTGAGTCTCTTAAACAAACGTGGAAAGAGACAGGATAGGTCTTTCTACCGGTAATATGATTCAGGGCCTTGCAAGTAACTGTTCTAAGTGATCTTGTGCAGGCTGTCCCGTCTGAACAGACAGTCTCTAAATAGTGCAGACACCTTTTTTGATATTTGTTCACTATGCTGGTTCCCAAGCTGTGGACATTCAAAGGGAACACATTAGAGATSATGGTGACCTAGAATACAGGTGTACTGGAGTGGGTCTGTCCTGCAGTGGAACAGAGTTTTGGAAAAGAATACAGTCAAGAAGAGGCTTTTGGCTGGGTGTGGACTTTCGGAGGGATCTAGTATTTTCTCTGTCTAAAATTAAAGGGAAAAGATGGCAAGGAAAGGCAGAGCCAGCAAGAACTGCACTGGACAGCTGTCATGGCCTGGGAAGGTTTGCAGGGCTGGGGGAGAGCACAAAGGGAAAGGCACAGGATATGGGGAGAAGGAGAGGATTGCAGGAGCCCTGTGGCCAGCATTTCCTCCTGAGGTGACATCTGTCATGTGTTTCTCCCCAGTGCCCATTGACCATTCTGACCTGGTGGCTGACCTGCTGAAAGAACTGTCCAACCACAACGAGCGGGTGGAGGAGCGGAAAGGTGCCCTGCTAGAGCTGCTCAAGATCACCAGGGAAGACAGCCTGGGCGTCTGGGAGGAGCACTTCAAGACCATCTTGCTGCTGCTGCTGGAGACCCTTGGAGACAAAGATGTGAGGCRCTGACTTGTCCCCACACAGCCCCTTTCCATGTGGCAGGTTTTGATGTCCTTTGCCGAGGAGGTGTTAGCTTCTGCTTTCATTTCTGGATTGCACTCATAGTTGACCTCAAAACATTTATTCAGTTTTCACATAGTTTAAGGTAACATGTTTATTAGTGATAGGCCTCTACTTTTCTAACTGGGTTTACAGTAGTTGAGGGAAACTCATTCTTGCATCTAGTTACTTTGACACAGAATTGCTTAAAACTTCATTAGAATAGAATGTGTCTCTTAGGATGCATCTTCTTCCTTGTGAATTCATTTCTGTTTTACATGTAATGGAGAAGTAGAAGGGTTTATTTTTTTAAAGACTCTTTTAAATATTGCATACCCTGAAACTCCATCTTGGTTCACCCTACTTGTGTTCACAGTTCCTCTCAGTAATCTGGGTCAGTCAGTCAAGTGACAGTTGCATCACTGTGACTCCTATAGTATTTGTTTTAGAATTAAAGACCCTCTTCATGCTAGGACACTTGAAGGTGACATACTAGGTATTTGTGACATGAATAGATGTTGGGAATTGCCAGAATTAAACTTTTTAGAAGTAAAAATCCATCCCTCCACATTGGCCTTGTGTAGGTTAGCAAAAACAGCTACAGTGTGTGTGTGGTGAGGAGCTAGTTGGGCAGGACTGGGAGACGCTAACCAGGCCTGCGCAGGGTCATCGTGATGGTGACTCGCGTGACAGAGGAGGAAAAGAGGGTGGCTTACTCAGTGCTTGGGGGTAGGGATAGTAAGACAGAAGAAGGGTAGCGAGAGGTCTGCACTAACTTCTTTACATCCAGTACTGGCTGGGGAAGCAGTCGCGCTTAGCTGGGCTCCATCAGGAGGTGAAATGATGGCCCGTGGAAAGCAGGTGGTCGTGTGTTCGTGTGCAAATTGTACAGCTGAGTGACAAGGAATCAGGATGTACTTCTTGGCTGTGTTTGGTATAAACTCCATTCTCTTTTCTTGAGATTAGCCGTCTGTTTGGGATGGCTTTCCTCCAGACACATGTCTCGGGCCTTAAACAACTCCGGGCCTGTACCCATCATGATCTCATCACATAGAAGGTCAGGCGTACCAGCAGGTCTGCAGCTGTCTCTCAAGAGTTCACAGGCCATGCCCAGGAATGAGCTAGATGCTTTGTGTTTGTCCTTTGGTATACTTTACAGAAGCGTAATTTCTATCCTGAAGTCTCAGGCGATCCGGCAATCCCCAGGAAACTGATAATGAACTTGGAGGTGTCATCCTCATTTGGTCTGCAGTTCAAAGCTCATTCAAGAAGCCTCTGTGGTTCCTCCTAGGGCTGGGTCTGGGATGCACCATGCCACACAGTGCCTGCCCGCCTAGAGCTAACTGTCTAGAGAGTCCCTGTCAAGTAAACCATGCAGTCTGGGTAGAGGGGTTTTTGAGATGCCGGGGAACCCAGAACTAGGCGCTGGGCCTTGCGGACCCTGGAGCTGGTATGGCTCCTCAAGGGTGTGTATTGTTACTGAGGGTTGCGTTTCCTCTCGTACCCAGCATTCAATTCGAGCACTGGCATTGCGAGTTTTACGGGAAATTCTGAGAAACCAGCCTGCAAGATTCAAAAACTACGCTGAGCTGACGATCATGAAGACTCTGGAAGCCCACAAAGACTCTCACAAGGAGGTGAGCCAGGGCTGCTGAACAGATGGGGCTGGGGGAATAGGTGGGTGGGGAGAGAGGACAGGGAAAGAGAGTCTCTCCCTCTAACTCAGCCCATCGTACAGTGTGAAGTTTCCATCGCCATCATTATGGCTGAGCAGTGGGCACATTTAAAATGCCAGCTAAGCATCCCTCTGGTTCTCCGGCCCCAGGACTCCAACTGCTTGTTGGAGAGCAGGCAGGATGTGTGTCCACCCTGCACATGTGTCACAGACAGTGGCTTCTTGGCGGACACCTGGCTGATGCTYGTCGACTTGTTCAGTACCTGTGGCTCGATAGTCCCGTGAGTGGCTGGAGGCCCACAGAAAGTGGGCATCCATCCTAAACAAAGGAGTTTAGCAGCACCCTTCAATAACAGGACTGTGGGAAACAAACTTTGTAAATTTAGAACGTTAGAAAATTTAAAATGACTTTGACCCCAGTGAGACGTAATTCCTTCCTCGGATTACTCTCTTGGCTCTTACTTGATCCTTTTCTAAGCAGGTTTGTGGATTAAGAGACTTGGGATTAGAACAGGTCTATGGAAAGAAGGAAACCCTAGGATTGAGGATGTAACCCAGTGGCAGAACACTAGGTTTGGACCCCAGCACCACAAAAGAACAAAATCCAAAGAATGAGACTCTAAATGGAGTGTTTCTCTTTGACAGTGGCTACTTGAACAGTGGTGGTTTTGACCTCTCTAGTCACTAAYTTGTGGCTCAGCAAGGGCAGCATCCCCTGCTCTGGCTTGGCATGCCTCCACCTGCTAGTCCTAGCACAACTCCGAATCCATAGGCAGTAGCTGTATTTTCCAGCTAATAACTTGTGTTCCAAAACCTGACCTGGTTGTGTGATGGCGAGAATCAATAACGTGTGAACAAAACACTTCCATTTACAATAGTGCACTTAAAAATGAGGATTGGATATGCTAATATAATCAACCAAAGTTCTCCCTGATGAGAAAGGAGGATCCCAGAGAAGCCTGCCCAGCAGTGAACCAGGTCTTGGTCTCTTGTAAGGGACAGATGGCCTGTGCTGACTTGATTTCTTTTTTAAAATCATAATAGCTTGTCCTTCAAAAAATGAAGTGAAATTGATTTTCTTTTTTACCTGGATGATGATGGTTGCTTTCACAGTAAAGGACATGTTTGAATGGAAGATTAAAGTGAAATCATAAGCTCGCGACAGTATATTGGCACGTACTGACTGTTCCATTGCAGGGTGTCTGTCTTTAAACAAGATCTTGACAATAAGAAGTGTTAGGTAATAGAATTAAGTCATCTGTCTGCTATTTACTGTTTTCTTGGGATATTTTGTTTTTTCCCTGCAAAATGAGTGATCTAGAAGAGAAAGCTCTTCTGGATGTGATGCCCTTACATTGACCAAGGAAAAAGCAGGAAATCTCCTGCCTCAAATAAATGCAGCAACTCTGTGTGAAGGTGGAATTCTTGTAACCCGAGCCCCCCCCACCCCACCCCCACACACACTGCTGTCATCGTTGACCTGACTCAGCCCAAGGAGGAGACTGTTCTGAGTGGAGCGCACATGTTGGCAGACTCCCCTGCTTTGCATACTTTCAAACTCACCTTGACTCTGTGCCCTTGCCATTCCCTCTTGAAGCTGCAATCTGTCACACTGCCAGAAGCTACTTGGGCACCTGTGTATTTAGGTTTTAGGTCTTTTTCTTGTTTTATATTTTCAGATGAAACCCARACTTCAGCAGGGAATAAGAACATGAGGGCTAGGGAGGTGGCCTACTAGTAGTAGAGCACTTCCTCAAATGTGTGAGGCCCTGTATCACACACACCAAAATAGAAACAAAACAACCCTGAGACGTGACGCACACCTGTAATCCCAGCGGCTCAGGAGGCTGAGGCAGGAGGATCACGAGTTCAAAGCCAATCTCAACAACAGTGAGACACTAAGCAACTCAGTGAGACCCTGTCTCTAAATAAAATACCAAACAGGGCTGGGGATGTGGCTCAGTGGTTGAGTGCCCCTGAGTTCAATCTCCAGCACCCAAAAAAAAAAAAAACCCTGAGTGGCTGGTTCGCAGAGGACTGCTCTGAGAGACACTGGTACTGGTGTCCTCTCTTGCAGGCTGTGCTAGTCACCATGCCGCTGTATGTTAGCTCTGGCTGTGGAACCGCAGTAGTGCAGGGCAACTTCTAGAAACACCTTTTCTAGAATCTGAAACCTGTCATAAAAGCTGTTGCACAGGATGGATAAGGTGAGGCTAATGACAAGGTGGCTTGTTTTTTCATCCTGTAAATAAGAGTCAGTTTTCTGAGGTTCTTTTAAAAGGAACTGTGTTCCAGGAGAGGTGGCACATGCCCCTATTTCCGGCTAATTCTAGCTCCTCAGGAGGTTGAGGCAGAAGGATCTGAAGTTGGAGACCAGCATGGGCAATTTAGCAAGATCCTGTCTTAAAGAGGGCTCRGGGCAGCTCCATAGTAAAGCAGTAGCTTGGCATGTGTGAGGCCCTGGGTTCAATCCCCAGCACCACGAAATAAGTAAATAAAAATCAAAGTAATTGTGGGGGAAAACATTTCTCTAACACACTGAAAATGTATGAGGCACTAAATCTCCCTTAGAGCTGCCCATCTGAAGCTAATGTGGATCTCCTGTCCTGAGCCTGAGGGTTGGAGAATTTGGATAGAAATTTAGACATTTTATTTTAAAAGGAGTTGTTTGTCAGCTTTGACATGATCTTTTTTTAATATTTATTTTTTAGTTATAGTTGGACACAATACCTTTATTTCACTTATTTATTTTTATGTGGTGCTGAGGATCGAACCCAGGTTCCGCACGTGCAAGGCGAGTGCTCTACCGCTAAGCCATAACCCCAGCCCAGACATAATCTTTTCATAGTCCCTATTTAATAAGTAAATCTCTTCCATTATCTAACTTTTTTTTTTTTAATTTTTAGTAAATGATGTTGCTGTTGAGTTCTGGTGTGCCAGTAATGAAGAATCTGCAGTTTACAGTGGCGTTGGCATTCAGTTAACAYCTTAAAGGGCTGAGGCTTGGTAGTAACCTTTTAAAACCTGGAGCCCATTTTCTGCTTTCCATGATAACTCCATTAACTTAAACTCTTGTCCTTTTAGAATTTGTAGTCTGTTTTGGGGTCAGGTACAGAATCTCTCTTTGGGTGAGGAAGAAGAGATGTTATGAGGAAGAGATGGCTGGGACATTGTGAGATGTGAATCCAGTCCAGCACCTGCTGCTGGCCACCTTGTTTATGACCCTGTATGAGCAGGACTGTTGAGAGAAAAAAGATATAAAGGGAAATACACTTTTTTCTTTTTTCTGGCAGTTCTGGGGTTAGAACCAGGACTTCTCCATGCCAGGCGGGCACTCTACCACTGAGCTATACTCTCAGCATGAAATAAGCTTTTAAAGCTATCATCTGCTTCACAGATTTTTTTTTTTTTTAAACCCAGAGGCACTTTACACTGAGCTACATTCCAGCCCTGTCTATCTATTTATTTATTTAAAGACAGGGTCTCACTGAGTTGCTTAGCATCTCGCTTTTGCTGAGGCTGGCTTTGAACTCATGATCCTCCTGTCTCAGCCTCCCAAGCTGTTGAGATTACAGGCATGCACCACCGCTCCCAACTTATTTATTTTTGAGGCAGGGTCTCACCAAGTACTTAAGTTTCACTGAGTTACTGAGGCTGATCTTGACTTGTGATCCTCCTGCCTCAGCCTCCCAGTCACTGGGATTATGCTGCATAACTATTGCTACATAAAACTGTTCACAGACCTTGCTATCCATTTGCAAAGCACCTATCTCTTGGGAACACATGGATGTGTCAATTATAAATTATAAATCATTTCAAAATGCAAAGATGATCATTGCTCCCAGACATGTGTCTTTATAGAACCCACAGGGTTTTAAAAGTTGTCAGTAAATGTTCTATTTGAACTAGAAAGAAGTGCCAACTGTACTTCTTGAAGATGTTGTAACGTCACTGAGGATTTTCCATTATTAGAGTTAGCATTTTCTGAAGTTGGCCACATCAGTGAATAATCAGTTATATTTGCCCACTTAAAAGTGGAAACTTAGTCAAGTGCTTTGGCACACTGGTGGTCTCAGCTACTCAGGAGGCAGAAACAGGAGGATTCCAAGTTCAAGGCCAGCCTGGAGAATTTAGTGAGACCATGTCTCAAAATAAAAGGGCTCAGGATATAACTCAGTGATAGAGCACCACTGAGATCAATCCCCAGTACATAGGGAAAAATTAATAAATAAATTAAAATAGAGAGGAAAATAGTAGCATTTTATGTCACTGTATCGGACCACCAAATATTTCTAACCACACATAAAAACCTTAGTGTTTAAGACATTAGAATTCAGCTTTAGGTGGTTTTGGCTTGTTTGGGGAAGTTGGATTCTTAAATAAACATAAAATAACTATTATGCCTGTGAGATTTTATTTCTAAATCATTTCCATTTAAATTTTATCTTTTATAACCTTAAGGAATTAAAAGTGAAATCAGATCAAAGTTAGTTTTAAAAGAAGAGAATTTCCTAGGACTAGCTGTCTGCCTTCCCTCAACCAGCCTGTTTTGCTTTCTGCAATGCTTTTGGCCATAGAAAAGCAAGTAGGCCAGAGAAGCCATGTTATTGAGCTGGTGTTCTGCAGAAGCCTGTTACAATTCCCATCTAACCTCCCAGTCACACCCCTGTGCAGAGGAATGGCCCTCAGAAGCCCACAGGGCAATTCCCATGTGTCCGTGGTTCTGGGGAACAGTATACTGAGGGGACCTGGAGAATTCACAGCACCTCTCCAGACCTTGCTTCCTCCTTATCTGTTAGCCCAGGGAGTGGACTAAGATGGCTATCCATGTCCCATCCAGCTTCCAGATAGTAAAAGTTGCTATTGAGTAACAAACCTAAATCCTCATCAGTTCTAATCTCCCATTTTCCATGAGTCCAACCTTGGGATTTGACCAGAAGCCCCATTTCCTTTGGAATTTCT